TGCAAGAGTTTGATATATTTGAAAGTTTGCCAAGTAAAAAAACCAAATTGAAACAGAGAAATTGGAATGAAACCTTGTTTTTACTTGATTAATTTCAATCCATTGTTTTAGCCCGTATCTAGTTTTAAATGGAAAAACAGTCCTCTGGTGGCATCACTTTAAACAGTAATCGATTCCTCAAGAGAATAATCGCGTTATTAATCGATTATTGAAATGTGCAATTATGTCTAAAGTTTAATACGGGTAGCAAGTACTTATGAAACCGGATAATCAAGCCGATGAAATTGTAATCAAATATTTCATTGAACTTGAGGAATGGTTTGAGCTCTCCTGGAAAAGTCTCATCCGCAGCTTTCAGGTATGACAGTCATTATGAGGCTTATTAAGAGTCTTGTTGGCAGCTAATTAGATGCAGATTCATCATGTGTTTAATGCTGTGCCACGTTCTGCCTTATTAGTCTCTAGAAAGGCCATTAGCCCCTCAGAAATAATTAATCAACAGTATATCTGACCCAGTTGTGGGGGTGATGCTGCTTCCTTACAGATGCTTCATTGAAAGTGTCCATACGTCCTATTGCACGCCCCGTTTTTAATCTCCATTGCTGCAGGTCGGCCACATTTCCTCGCTGTAAAACTGAGCTATATTCTTTGACAGCGGCTCTAAATGGCGATAATGAACCCAGCGGGAGTGTGACGGGGGAGCGCTCGCACAGCCACAGGTGTGTTGGCGGCACAAACACGCAGCTCAGTTCTGAGAATAGATCACGCTTTCACTTTCCAACGCGGACTCGCACATGAAGGTCACACTGACATTATTCGCTTTCAACCATTTGTTTTACTCTTCCAGGCTTTTATCCCGCTGCACTATTGCCATTGTTGTCCTCTTTGTGGCTTATGCCGTTAAGTTTATGAACACTGTTGATGTGAGTGATTTAATCAAATGATAAAGCACTAATCTCTTTATTCACTTTTTTACTGGCCGCAGTTATAAAGTCAATCTCAATGCGACAATGAAGCTTGTACAGTTGACAGAAAAGTGATGAGTGGAGTTAGCGAAACATAACTGCTGTGATGGAACATAAGCAGGTGAGAGAAGTAGCAAAGGAAATGTGCTATAGGAAGTATGTACTGTACACCTGTATACTTCTATATATAGTATAGCACTCTCGCTTGTTTGTGTGTTTGCATGTTCTCCCCGTGTCCGTCAGGGCCTCCGGTGAAGGCCCTAGTGGCATTGAAGGATGGGTCAAATGCAGAAGACAAAACTACCACTACTACTACCAAAACCACTACCCCTACTACTACTAGGATAGATAAGTTGATGCACTGATATGTTTTGTTAGTTCATGTTTACTTTATGGAGCAGAAGTTACCATTATACTTGTACTTTAATATGAATAGTTTCTTTAGCTGCTTCTTCACCTAGTGTTGTTCGTCCAAGATAAGACACAGAGGCATACAATCTTAGGCATTTTTATATTGCAGAAGCCAAATGAGACCTGCCAGGATAATTACTAAATCGACTTAACGTTCAATAAATGACAGCTGGAACAATATATTTCAGAGCTCAGTATTGTCTGAACATTTGCTTTAACATAGCGGAAAAACGCTTGTTGTTTTCTCTGTAATACAATTAGATATGAGATGCAAAGGATTCATGAAGTCACTTCTGTGGCGAGGAATTATGAAGATGATAATTTAAGTGGTTTACTGGGATTCTCCGGCTGTATTGTAATTGTGTCAGTGGCATCAAGTCCTTTCAATAGCATTGTTTATCCCAATAGAACTCATAGCTATCATAATGTGTTAGCCAAATCTCTCTCATTCTGTTACATTCACTTTTACCAATACATATTTTTGTGTCTTTTATAATTCATTAGTGATTTATGGTGGATAAAGAGAAATGGTTTGCTAATTTAGTCGCTACTGTAGGCTTAAATTACGCTATACATGTTCCAGGGTCTAGTTTATTGTTTATCATTTCACTGCTCAATTTTTCTGTTGCAATCAGGAGAAGATTTGCATGTCCAGGAGTGTAGGGAAGGCTTTGGAGAGAATGTATTGCACTTCAGTCCCACATTGTGCTTCAATATACTGCTTTTCTTATGTTTTATGTGAATTCGTAAAACTGTTTTCATCCTTATAAGTACAATTAGCCTTCAGCAGTTCCCTCCCTGCCATTGAAACATTCACATACATCCTCTTGTATTCGAACTGGTCAAAACCGAGGGCTAATGCGTATTGGATTCTCATAGTTGTAGGGTTGATGACCTTATGAAATGTGACCTTGCTTACAATTGGCCCGAGGCGTACATGCTATTTTACAGTCTTTTATATCAAGCGTAGCAAACCAAGCAATTTTACGGAACACGCTGCCTTATTCTCCCACTAAGTAAATATCATTTTGGTTTTGATGTCGGTGTCAAATTGTTCAGTACATTGTGAAATTGGCCGGTGATGTAGTGAGCATTGCTGCATGTTTTAGCGCATGTTAAGAGGCGCGTTAGCTTCCTCTCGGTGCACCAAGGAAACGGGCAGAGACAGACAGAGTGCAAGGCTTGGACATCCTCTCCAGCAGCGCAGATGCCACTAAATAAAATATTTCATAATCCTGCCCAAATCCTCTAATCACCATGACAACAGGCAGCAGGGAGTCAGAGCCGGCTGGTGCGTGGACCCCCCGCCCTCCTATTTCGTTCGCTTCCCCCTATTATTTTAGCAAGACCTGCTCCACATTCTACACATATTTATCTATGCTCTGGCAGAGAGTGGCGCTGCAGAAATTGTCACGTTTTGTGTGGCCAAATGCAAGGACTGCAATTATATGACTAGAAGTAACTAGGGCTGTAAATTTTAGTCAATTGATTGGACTAAATTATGTGTTAGTTGACTGATTATTGTATTTAAATGACAAGCTTTTCTATATGAACATTGCATAAATAATAAAGTATGGAGCAAAACAGCTGAAGATGATGCATTTACTTGGATTCAAGCCGGATCTAACTCTACATCTCTACATTCAACCTTTTTGAATGTAGAGTTTTTAAAATTATCTCAAAATATTTTAGAGATTAATGACATTTTGGGTGAGGCACAGTATTCAGTTAATTTGCCACGTCCCCTTTTTAGACAACTAATCAATCTATAAGGCATTTGTTCAGTCCGCCAAGAGTTTCTTTGGACAACTACAGCCCTAAAAATAACACATCTTAAAAAAAAAAAAAATCAGCAGATGATTTCTTCAGTAGTTAATATTTCAAGTGAACTGCTGTCAAAACATATTTATTACATGTATCTTTCAATATCGTTCAGCCCAACTGAAGAAAGTCAAGAAGACACTCCAGATGAATTGGTGTTTAACTTGTGTAAAAAAAAAACCTGTTTCACTTTTAGAAGATGAGACTAAAAGCAGAGTACAAAACTGGCAATTACCCCAAGCTTAAACGCCTCAACTTTCTTTCGGTGAATCAAACGCGCTGAAGATTTGTGTCTTGTGCCGACAAGATCTGGAGTGTGCACACAGGCAAAGAGCGCTCGCACACACACGCACACACACACACACAGACAACCATCACTTGCATCCAAGTCCTGCCAGCATCTCTGTACCGTGATAGGATAATGGAGGGGATGACCTCATGGGGTGAAAGGACCTGTTGCCTGGTAACAGTGTGGATAACGGCAAAACAGGGGGGTTAGTCATATCGAGAGCGCTGGGTCTAAGTGTTGTGAGATATCGACCAGCGCTGCCAGGTAAGGGAGATGATGATAGTGGGCACAAGTTGAAAGTCCATTTTAAGACCATTGATCGCGCTTAGTTGCAGTTTGGGTGTGTGTGCGTGTGTGTGTGTGTGTGTGTGTGTGTGTGTGTGTGCGTGTGCGCGTTTTTATATTGCCCTAATCAAGTCCAACACACCAGGCTGGTCCAGTGTACAGTTCCTGCTGTGAGAGGCATTTTTCACATTTTACTGCCCTCTGTGGCTCACTTGACTGCTTCTGTCACATACAAATAAATAAAAGGTGAGGAACCATAAAAGGAATGTTGTGATGTTGCAGATTCAGAAGTCACAGGTTTTGTTTTGCAGAGATCAAAATGCAATATCCTGGCCTAAAAGTGCACTGCTTTGTTGTTGCAAGATTAGTGTTGTTGTCACGGCTCTGACAGATCCATCTTGCCACAAAAGCACACGAATGCTAAAAAACGATTTTGACACAAGCGCGCTGACAAAAGCTTCTGTATAATGAGGATTTACACTACTCTGATTGTGATTATGAGCAGTTTGCAAAACAGTCTATTTGTGAATTCTCTTTAATAATAGATGTTTGTAATAATCATAAATTAATAGATAGATAGACAGATACTTTATTGATCCCCCGTAGGAGAAATTCAGGATAAACACTGTACTGGAATAAAAATAATCTACAGCTAGAAAAAAGTAAGAAAAAGTAGGTAAAATAACGGTTGTAGGGTACAATATCTTCAGAGCTGCTAGGACATGCTGTTTCCAGTGCATTCAAATCCTAACAATAATAGTATATTTCAAACAGAGCTAATAAAGTGCTTCACACAACCCCAGAAAACAGCTGTAAGATATGACAAACAACAACTGGATAAAGCAATGAAAAAATAGGTTAAAAGTTAATCAAATTATTTTAAAAAATCTAATAAAAGTGTGTTATGAGGCCTGAGCTCCTGTGTGTTCCACGAGTGAGGGATGTGGTAATTCTCTTTTAAATTTAACATCAGTTTTAATACTGGGGATGTAATATCTTTGACAGGTCTAAGATAGAAGAGACAGCTAAAGTACATCTATAATGCTTCTACTTTATCCTGACATTATTACGACATCACATTCTCCTAACAAAGTCATGTAATACAAAATGTGACAAAGCCGATCGTACCAAGATGTGATGTGATTTTTGGTTATTGTTACATTGTAGCCTTCTCTTTTGCTTTCTCTCTCGGCACACAAAAATAATAATCCCACTCTTTCTCTCTGCAGGTATACGGCCCCAGATAATGAACGGGCCCATGCACCCACGCCCCCTGGTGGCCCTGCTGGACGGGCGCGATTGCACGGTGGAGATGCCCATCCTCAAAGACCTGGCCACCGTGGCCTTCTGCGACGCCCAGTCCACACAGGAGATCCATGAAAAGGTTTGTGGATATCACCTGAAAATATTCACTCACATGATACGCAAGAGAAATCACTGTTGTGCCTTTAAGCGTGAGGTTGTTTTTCTCTTCATCTTGTGTAAGACGATTCTTTCTTTCTAGGGACAAACGCCCACTTGTGAAAACTGCTCACTCTTCAAGCAAACTCGGTCTGCGTCAAAAGCAACATTTTACCTGCGTAACTCCGTCCAGTTTCATAGAATATTCCATAGTATACTCTAATATAAATCTTGTCTCTGGAGACTTGTCAGATGGTACCTGGGGTACCTGACTACCTCGCATAAATCTCACATGTTTGTCACCTCCGAAATATTTTAGTTGTGAACAAATCAGACCACAGTATGCTGCAAACATCTTATAAGAAAATGCTTAATTTGCACATACATAAGAGAGTGAACGTATTGTGGTCGGAGGCTTTGAGGCATCTCCTCTGGCATCACTGTGTGGGGAGTGAATGGAAAAATACCGGTACTAGTGATATATCCAAACTGTTTTTAAACTAGTTTATGGATTTATATTACATAATAAAGTACCCCAGCTTTAACCCTTGTGCTATCCTTGTCAAAATTGCCAATGATTAAAAAAAATTTATCACATTTTTTCTGCAGAATTTTGATGATTTTTACTAACTTGACCAGCCCTGGGTCATTTATACCCTTCTACACCCTAATTTTAGGGTATTTTTATTCTACTTTTAGAAGAAAGTAGAAGACTAGGGCTGTCAATTTTTTGTTTAGTCGATTGATTGGACTAAATTATGTGTTAGTTGACTGATTATTTTATTTAAATGACAAGCATTTCTATGTGAACCCTGCGTAAATAAGAAAGTATGGGGCAAAATAGCTGAAGATGATGCATTTACTTGGATTCAAGCCAGATCTAACTCTACATTCAACTTAAAAAAAATAAAAATATTACTAAATATTTCAGAGATTAATGACATTTTGGGTGAGGCACAATATTCAGTGCAGTTGCGGGTCATTTTGACCCAAGGATAGCACAAGGTAAGAAAACTCATTATAACTTCAAAATTAGCACAACAAGTAATTAAATCTATAGCCAACTAAAGGGTACATTGTGGCCCCATGTCCACCAGCCCTACTCTACCTTTCAATTATAAATTTTAGTACCGTATCGTAGCAACCTACCCACCACAAAGCAGTATCCAGGGAGATTCCTTTTGAGCCATGGTTTCCAGCTACATCAATTACTGTGGGTTAGAACACTTTAGTACCAGCTTGTCCTGGACAGAACCAGGGCCAAGCAGGTACTAACAAAGTACCAGGCACCGGTTAAACGTGGAAATGCTCTCCTAGTTTGATCTTTTAATTAACTTTTACTTTGAATACCAGATCCATTCCATTCGTCTTGCCTTATTTATTGCCTGCATCTAAAACTAAAACAAACAAGCACTCACATAAGGCATCATCACTATTCCTAAAAACTAAAGTTACACATCTGTAAAAAGTGCGTCCTTACCCCCACTCCATCTCTTATGAATCAAAGCTGTTTTCACAAGATCATTTTAAACACATTTGTACATCTTGAACTAATTACAGCAGCAATCACAAGCTAGAATCTGCGAACGACTCCTCTGCACTTCTTTGAACTAATCTTTTTGGAACTTTAATTTTCAAGGCTTCAGATGTTATTAATCAAGTTGCGTCGGGCCTGTGCGCACACCGACCAGGCTCAAGTCTCTCCCACCAAACGTATATATTTGTTTTCCTCATGAGTTCTAAACAGTTTGGATGATATTTGCGCTGTGTGTCGTCGGAGCTCCCAGTCGAAGCGTAATAGTGTCATCAGAGCTCTAATCCCGCTGGGCGCCTCGTTAAATCGGGAAGAGGCGGCTAATAGAAATGCTAGTCTAATTGTTCAGCGCTGGAGTGGGTGAAACATTTTACTGTCTGTACACTGGGATAATTCTACACTGTGAGCAACAGGGTGTGAAAACGTGTCCCAGAAAATGAAAACACTTAAGGAGTAATTTTATTATTTTAAAGCCGGTGCTTGTACTCAGGCTGCACATTCGGAGAATCGTAATCAATTTTGAGTCGGACCCTGTTTAAACAAAAGCCGGGAGATTTTCCACAATAACATTTTAATAATCTTTTTTTTTTCTCTATTTAAAAAGCAAAAAAACAGATTCAGATCGGTCTCCCCTCCCCTGTTCAAACACAATGCTTGCTTTATTTTGATTAACCCCATTATTCTTTTGCTTTTATTTGAAGTGAATCAACAATCTAAGACAGTCTTTGTCTGACTTGGATCATTTTAAACCAATATGGATTTTTAGGGTTTCTGCGTTGATTATTTTTATTTTTTAATAATAATAATAATGCATCGATTTTATATAGCGCTTTTCTGGACACTCAAAGACGCTTTACATGTTGTTATTCTTTCACTCCATACACGGTGGTGATAAACTACTATTGTAGCCACAGCTGCCCTGGGGCACACTGACAGAAGCGAGGCAACCAGTATCGGCCCCTCCGACCACCACCAACCATTCATTTTTTCATATAAATGACATACATGATATTTTGTGTTAAGGAATAAAGGCTCTATCTTTGTATTTGTTAAATTGCCACAAACACACAGATATACAGTATTTGATAATAGTATATTAGAGATGTAACTTTTTTCACTACATTGAATTGAATTTGGCAAGGCAAGTTTATTTGTAGAGCACAATTCATACACAAGGCAACTCAAGACAAGATTGCATTCAAATCATCACAGTAAATTAAAAAGAAAGATAAGAATCCCACAGTTGTATGCACAGCTGTTTTTAACGTGGATTCAAACATTGTCAAAGAAGAGGCCTGTCTCACATTTTCAGTTGGATTGTTCGCATGTTTCGCAGCATGAATCTGAATTTGAATGCTTTTATTTGATCAGGGACAACGCACATGAAACCTTAGTCTAAAAGAAAATGTGTCTTGTTCCGGTTTTTAAAAAATGCTAGTTTCCACCCGTAGTCCCTGGAGGTGATGACGGCATTACAATAAGTTCAGTTTTTAGGTCAGTTTCAATTAAAAACCAACAAAAAGTAAATAACTCGTGTTTTACAACCAAATTAAGGTTTTATTTTATTTTATTCTTGCCATTCAGAACTGGCGCTAAGTGTACTGGGTGCAGCTCTGACTGCCACCCCCCCGACCCAGAAATGGATTAAGGGGAAGAAAATGTATGGATGGCATTCAGAACTTTAAAATGAGAGGTGAACATATGATTTAGTAAGTAAGGAGGTCATTTTTATTTATTTAGCGACAGTCACAACGCGTTTTACTATTATAATTCACTCATTGGGCTAGAATGAGTGAACTCTGCAGATCCTGAGCTGAACAATGAGGTGTAACATGTCAATACAGGCAGCTTTCACTTACTAACATGATTTTAAAATTAAATAGTTTTTTCCCAGCCCTAAACATGTCCTGGGGGAAAAAAAGGATTCCACTTGATCAGTTTATATTCCAAGCTGCTTTCAAACACTATGTCTCCTGGATGTGTTTAAAAATCTGCTCTGTGAAAACATACATCGAGAATCCAAACTCAATAATAAACCCCGCCCCTAAACTTCTTTCTTCAAACCCTATGCGTGCCACTTTTCCCATGGTGGGCGTCGCCGTGTGGGGAGTGTAGGAGTTGGCAGCGGTCCCAAAGCCATAACTGCACAGCAGAGTGTACAGATGGGGCACTCATGTTGCATTCATGTGGCGTTGGAAAGATTGAGGGAGAAAAAGCAGAGTTGGAAAATGCACACGAACACCTGTGCCGAGCCAAACAGTAACCACCGCTCAGGGATGACGTCACGCAGCCCCATAGACCGTAACCCAGCTTTCAATTCTGTCTCATAGTCGTCGAAGTCAATTAAAAGGGGATTAGTAGCGGTAAGTCTTTTTACGACACTTATTCATAAAGATTGTAATTAAAATGTCAGTTGGAAATGACCTACTTTTGTGGATATGTGAGATTCTACAGTTAATAAAACGATGCACTTGGTCTTTACTCAGAGTTATACAGATATTATCATTTGGAAACTCTATTTTCAACTGGTAATTGATTTATCACACTTGCTGTTGGCCTTTTTATGAATTGACCTGATGAAAAGAGAAATAATACAAACAGATGAACAATATTCCACATAGTTGACTCTTTAGTCTGAGTAAATTGGCAAACACTGCGATTCAATCACTTTTTTTATACGTAGCACGTTTTATAAAGAGCTTCCAAAGTAATGTGCAGGGACATTTTAGTCTCTCAAGGCTGACAACGTTTTGAATAGGCAAGGCAAGACATAATAATAATACATAATACATAATAATGCATTTTAAGTTAAAAAAAACTGACATAAGAAACAAGATGATGTGGAACGGTAATATACAACATGTAAGATATATAACAGACTGTTAAAGGCCGTCCGATAAAAGTGGGTTTTAAGAAGAAGTGATTTAGAAGAAGTTATTGATATCCGTATCTCCTCGAGCAGGTAGCTCCAGAGCTGATGAGCCCGGATGGAGAAGGCTCGACCTCCCTCCGTCCAGAACCTCAACCTTAGAACAGGCCACAACAATAGTTTGACAATGGTAACATGTATTATCATCAATGAATACAAATAAACTTGAAATAGAAACTGTCCTTTTAAGAGGTCAGAGCATAAGTAATATCATTGAGTGCATAAATTCCACACATTACCCCCGCTTGTCGGCTGGAAAAGGATCTCTCACTTTTAAACCAGCGCTCATAGCATCAGATGAATGTGATGCACTCAGCCCCCGTGGAAAGTCGAGAGGCGCCGCCGTTCAAAACTCAAATTCCCGCACAAAGAAATGAAATAAATCCGCGCGGTGTCTGTAGCCGCGTGTGACAGCCGCCTGAGTGCTGTGAAGAGCGCGAACCTGTTGGCAACCGCGGCGCGAGCTTCAGACCGGAGAGGCTGTACGTGTCCTTGTGAAGAATAAAGCAGAGATATCGTCACGTTTAGTCTGTTTGGAGCGATGGCATTGCACCATTCTCCAGTCAAGTGTATGAATTGCCGCAACAAAAAAGACTGTCACATTGTATCACAGTCCCGGCAAAAGAACAGTTCAATTTCATTATTTTTTTACCCAGACAGGCAGGGCAGGGCTGCACAGACACATCTACACACTCTACTGTTATGACAGAAGAGTCTCAAGGCAAAAACATCGCCCAGGCTCATTCATCTAAATGTTGAAAGTCGTGCGCAGGAAGGAGGGTTTGATAGATAGATGTCCGTGAGCTTGAAGCAACAACAGGCTGCAATAAAAGCAAACAAGACTAAAGAGAGCACAGCAGATCAATAACATGGATGAAATGAAATGCGAGGTTCAGTTGGATCCAATGCTGCTGTTAGTTCAATATTCTACACATGCACTGGCTTTTCAAAAGGCCGAGTAATGCTCCTTGAATTTTTTGTTGTTGATTTGGAACAATGATGTATGGGAATTCTTTATTTTCATGTTTTTGCTCACCTAAAAAACAGAATAAGCCTGTAAAAACTGAATCAGAATTTTTGCAAGTCGCAGGAAGTCTCTAACTGATAATTTTTCTTTTGGCTCATGGTGCAAACATGTTATACAAATTTTGAAAAATATATATCTACTGCGTGCATAAAGAATCTCGATATCTCTAATACATAAATAATACACAATAGATATTTAACAGTTCAGAATATTGGAAAGTGAGCTATGAGATTATAAAGTGACAGATAAGAAAAAATATTTGAACCTTTACCAAGTAGTTTTTAGGTGCCACCTTTTCTTGGGAAAGGTATTTCAACTTCTCAGCCAATAACAAAACATGTTGAAGATTTGAGCTGGAGGAATAACAACTTTTTGACAAATTTCCAAAACTGCTAAATCCGTTTTTGTAACTTGTATTGAGTCATTTAGCTGTTCATGTTTCCGCTTATTTTTATGATCAAGAAAAATAAAAAATAGTTTAAAGGGATTTTTCAGGCATTTGTTCATTTTGCAGTTGTGGCAGTTTTTTATTTTAATGTTTGTTTTTATTTATTTATTTGACAGGGACATTGCACAATAAATATCTTGTACAGACCAGACATAGCTACTAGCTTATTTCTATCTGTAGTCCTTGGGCAGAGGACTACAGATCCTGCAAATATAATGGCCTTTTTCATTCCAATATTCACAATCAGAACTCTATTTATTGCCATTGTGAGTAACAGGAATTCCTAAACTAGGAATTGCGTTCGCTCTCGGTGCATAAAAGTCATCATCAAGTAAATACAGTAAATATTGTAAATATTGTAAATATAGTAAATACAAAATCTACATAACACTTACTACTTTAACCCTTGTGCTATTACCGTGTATTGTATTGCTTTACTGCCTTAATACATATTGTGCATCATTATTTGTTATTGTTACAGACCTGTTTCCAATCATGGGTAGTAGTTTGTGTTAGTTGCCCTTACATGTGTGATAATAGAGTCCTACATTGTGTGTCGGTGACGGCGCAGGGAGAAGTTCAATAGTTCAAATCCTTTGCGTTGACTTGAGTCCATTGTGTAACTCTGTAATGAGATGGATGCACAGGGAGAGAGTTAACCTTGAACGTACCATCTCTCTCAGACTCCAGCTACTACCAATAAACCGCTCAGGACAAATTGATGGCTATGCTAATCCAGCGCGGTTAGCTTAATTCGGTTAGCGGGCGGTGAATTTGAACCTGTTGGAGGCCAGCTGCTCCCGGCTCTCTGTTCTCTGACACAAAGCAGCTTCAGCGCCTCATTATCACGACACTGGGACGAGCCTTAGTTTACAGCACTCACATAAACCAGCCATTTGCATTTAGATGAAGAATCGCATCTATAAACACAACCGCCGTGAACAAAACTGTCACACGGGTGTTTTAAATAGAAGCTGCTGGCAACTATTTATCAAGAGCTTAACTTTATATACCATACTGTTTCAGAGCATACATGGACCTCTTTACCTGGACACAAAAGTCACTTGTATTTTAGGGTGCGGTGGTTCAGAGTCTGTTTTTCACATTCATCAAGTCATTTATTTAGACTTATCTCTTTGTAACCCTTTAATGACTTTCTCAACAATTTGGTCGATCACCTTTTGAGTCAATATATCTACTATCTACTAAGCTTGGAACTGAAATCTACCTCTTTGGGGCATCTCACTAGGTTTTAGGCACTCTTACTATCACACTGCATCTCAACCATTTGGTAAAGGGTCCTATAAAAATAGGGGATAAAAAAAAAAAAAAACAGAAAACAAATTAAATGTGTTATTAGTGCTCCTACATCTTAGAATTAAAAAAAATAAAACTTGCTTTCTTCAAGGCGTAAATGTTAAAGGGTTAATGTAGTAATGATTTAGTAACCAACCAATCATAAATTGGTTCTTATACATATTATGAAAAAATGCCAAGCACAGAGAGAAAAGATTGTGCGACCCCGTTCTGACCTAAAATGAGTTCTTGAAGCGTGTTCACTTAATGGGGGTCTTTACTTATTTACGCTGGGATCACTTGCCACACAGTTATAACTCCAACACCCTGCTGATTCCTCCAGTCACAGTGACCCTAAAAGCCCGGTCACACTCACCGTTTCTCCCATTTCCAGTCCTGGTTTAGTCACAGTTTTGGATCATGGATCAATTTATCTCTGTTTTTGAGTGTTTTCCACCTCTGACCTGCCGGTGACCTGTGTCAGATGCTGCTCGCTGAATTGAATGTGTGCACACAAAAGTAATATATCATGAAATTGTTAATGAATGAAATATTACTAAAACCCTTATCACTTTTGTTGTACCATGGAAAAAGTAGAAACCACATTATCTTATTTACCTACGTACAAATACATTTAATTGTATGTTCTCACCTGTTTTAGGTTTTATTGAGAGAGGTGATTCTTCTGAACCATTATTGTCTTCATGTAAAAAGTTATATCATGAATAAATACATGTTTATTTTACACTGTTTTAATTTAAACGCTCCACGGTTTAATCCACGGTTGGTACATAAGAATTTCACTGCATGTAATGTGTATGTGACAATTTATCTAAACTAAACTAATCCATGCTGCTGTCTTCACACAAACGTCAAAGCCTTTCCATAACTTTTTGTAAAGTTCAGCTCCAACATACCTCTGGATCTATACGTGATCTACAAACTCGTGCACAGAGCTGACCAACGACCACTTACTTTAACTATTTATGAGACAAATAAACTATTTAACAAGTTTGGGCTGAAACTGAAGGGTTTATTTTGTGAGGCAGGTGCTGAACGAGGCGGTGGGCGCCATGATGTACCACACCATCACACTGACCAGAGAGGACCTGGAGAAGTTCAAAGCCCTGCGCATCATCATCCGCATCGGCAGCGGCTACGACAACATTGACATTAAGGCTGCCGGCGAGCTCGGTGAGAAATATAAGAACCGGCTAAACGTGTGCAGTGTGTGCTGAGTTCCCATATGGCCGCGCTGGCTGCTGTCTGACTCAAAACATGGTGAATTAAACAACAAAAGCATTTATTTATACGACGGTGCACCTCTGGACACGCGCCAGGCCCTCTCCTCTAATCACAAACAACATATGTAATGGGAAATCTTACATTTACTGAAACAGAATGTCTTATGAGTGCGCACAACATATGCCCACACTCTGAAACGTTCCGCTACCCCGCTACCCTCCCTACCCCCACCTCCGATGCACCCTCGACATATGTCTGCTGTGAGAGTGGGAGTAACTCTGATATCCTAATTATTTGTGTTCAAACATGCAGATATACACACACTATGTCCTATGGAATGGTTTTAATTAGCCTCTTAATGATCTTGTTTTTTATTGGAGAGATGCGGTCGTAATCAAATGCATATTACCCTGGACTATTACAATGTTATAGAGCAATTTTGTGGGCGAGACAGTGTGGGAAAAAAATAGACAAACTAGCATATCGTAAAAATATCAACATGATTAGAGTATGAGGGGGTGGGCTTTAAAGAAAAAAAAAATGATATCAGAAAAGAATCTTTGAATATTTATAAAGTTTGCCTGTATCCCTCTAAATATAGGCTTAGTCGGAGTGCCTTGGACCTCTGTTATTGTAGAACCATGTTTTAGGCCTCCTCGTTTTTGTCTGGATAATGTTCCCGTAATTCTTTTGTGAACGCGGGACTCTCCTGGTCCTACAATGATGCGTTTAGGCCTCTGCTCCGGGTGCCCACCTGTGAGGCACTAATGAGACATTTACCATATGGATTCATGTAGCGCCTGGAGGTGTCTGAGAACACCATTAGAAATGTTTCAAAATTTGACAAAACACTATAATTGCTAACTTCTGCTATGAGGAAGCACTGGGCAGAAAGACTCTTAACGCCACTAATTGGCCTGTTTTTGTTTTGCTTTTTTTCTAGTAAACTATAGATAAATGTCATATTTGCATCAACATAATCGATTCCTAAAATGGCTGATTGTATTGATTGTTTCTGACATAATTGCTGGAACATTATTCAGTTATAACGCAGTAAACAGCTGCAGTATATTCAAAACGCTGCGGCTCGAGTCCTGACTAGAACCAGGAAGTACGATCTCATCAGTCCTGTGGCTTCCTGTGGCTCAGAGAATAGACTTTAAAACAGATCTGTTTCTGTATAAGTCTCTCCATGGCCTCGTAACAAAGTACATCTATGACATGTTAGTGCCATTTGAACCAACTCAGACTCTGAGGAGCACAGAGACTAAAGCTAAATCTACAACAGTCTTCCTGAAAATGTGAGACAGGCTTCTTCTCTGAAAATGTTAAAATCCAGATTAAAAACGGTTCTGTTTAGATGCATATAACTGAGGGATTTTATCTTTTTTAATGTACCTTGATTATTTATATCTATTTTATTGCCTTGTGCGATTGTTTCTATCTTAGTTGGGGCAGCACTTTGAGTGGCTTTGTGTATGAATTGTGCTATACAAATAAGCTTGCCTGCTGTTCTGGTGTTGATAAGTGTTTGTTCTTGTTGCAGGTATTGCCGTGTGTAACATCCCCTCAGCCGCAGTAGAAGAGACGGCAGACTCTACATTATGTCACATCCTGAACCTGTACCGACGGAACACGTGGCTGTACCAGGCTCTCCGGGAGGGCACGCGGGTCCAGAGCGTGGAGCAGATCCGAGAGGTGGCGTCGGGAGCCGCCCGGATCAGAGGGGAAACTCTGGGACTCATCGGCTTCGGTGTGTGCATGTTAGCTCAAATGGACTCATGTTTAAAGCCTGTATTTATTATTCCATATTATATTACTGTATGTCAATAAGCAGCTCTTATGTGTAGCTTCAGATGACACTGAATGTTGTTTTAAAACCAGGATGTGTGCTGTTAGCATGCTAGTTATCAGCTTTTCTCTGACGGCCAACTGAATTATTAATTTATCTTAAAGTTTAAAAACAAAAAGAACAAACATGTTAAATGCAGAATATATTATGCACAAAAAATTAGAAAGTGGCAATCAAGAAACGGTGTCAATAGTAGTGCAGGTTTTTCAGTCTTAATGCAGTGATTTAAAGTGACTTGTTGTACAGTCTGATAGCGGTGGGGATAAAGGCCCTGCGGTAGCGTTCCTTCTTGCACATGATGGTTCTTGCTAATTTGTGTTTGCTCCAGGGCGCACAGGGCAGGCGGTGGCGATCCGAGCCAAGGCGTTTGGGTTCAGTGTGATCTTCTACGACCCGTACCTGCAGGACGGGCTGGAGCGCTCGCTGGGCGTGCAGAGGGTCTACACTCTGCAGGACCTGCTGTACCAGAGCGACTGTGTGTCTCTGCACTGCAACCTGAACGAACACAACCACCACCTCATCAACGACTTCACCATCAAACAGGTGAGCGCCACCACGACGCCACGGCAACAGCAATGTGAGGAGAGGGCAACTTTTTATACGTCCGCTTTGGCCAGAAAGATGGCTCATCTCTGAATTGTTTTATATTGATATTGATCTTTTAACACAAGGATTCCCAGTAGTATGAAACTACTAGAACTCCCAGAGCCGTCATATTGACTGCTCCCATCCATCCATCCATTTTCTTCCTGTTAATCCATTTCTGGGTCTGGGGGGGTGGCAGTCAGAGCTGCACCCGGTCCACAGAGCACCAGCCCCTCACTGATCCTCCTGCAGGTGGTGAGTCCACAGGAGCCTTGATCTTTCAGTGGGGGCTTCAGGCAAAGTGGGATTGAGTGTCTTGCCCAAGGACACAATGACAGCAGATATCGGTGGGAGTCGTGAAGTAGTTCTCGTGGTGGGCTCCAACCCACACCCTTTAGACCCAAATACCAATGCTCTACCAACTTAGCCACTGTCGCTCCCTTTCAAACCAATTAAATTCTGAGAAATTCCTCCAAAACATTTTTTTTTTCAAAGATTTATTAGACGTAATAAAGTAGTATTTATCTTTACTCGTTTTTAAATAAGTGCTAAAACTGGTGAATATAACTGGAATTACAAAAGAGGATAAATACTAACTGGTACTGGCTTTTCTCTCTGAGTTAATGGTAGAACTCCTCACATTAAAAAAAAAATTATTTATTCAATATAATGACGTAGAAATAAACTGCATTTAGAGAAAAAAAAAGTTACATTTTCAAGACTAAAAATGTAAAAACTAAAAATGTCCAAAACTAAAAGCCGTAGCATTTACTGCTCTGGCAATAGTTAACTTGCAAAAACAATTTGCAAATAGTTTTTATACAAAACATGCAAAAGAAAGTGCCATCATAAAAAAATATTTGGAAGGCTTAAACCAAGTAGCTATTTGTAAAATCCAGATCTATTTTAGCGGCTTACAAATAAAGTTTCACCCCTTCTTGAGCAGATTATTTCAGATTTACTACCAAAAGCAAAACATGTTGAAAGGAAATACAACTTTTTTACATATTTTCTAAACTGAGATATTTGCTTTGTGAATTAACTTTAGAACTATGATCATAGACTAGAACAGACCTGAGCTCAAGCTGACAAATACTCATTTTCCATTTGGTGTGCTCCGTCTGCTGTCACCCGCCTGTGTATTCAGAGAACCGGTTAAAACCACCAAATATCAGATCAGTACGATGAAAAACAATGAACACAGTATTATTTCAGGCTGCGCTGGTGACATCAGAGACAGAAGCTGCACATGTGTCGGTGTCACAGCCTCATGGTAATGCTAGTACCAGGCTTATTTCAAATACAAGCAACGCCACTATTACTAAAAGTCTAATCCTATTTAATCTATGTCATTAAACTAATACACAGCAGTAAAACATGTAATAATACTAAAATGCCTGTTATAAAGGTGGTGATTAGTTTAGAAATATGGTCTGAATAAAAACAGAGTATTACATTTATTATTAGATTTTTTTTTGTTTATTTCAGATTATCATAACGCAACCAAAACAGAAAGACAGAACATCAAATACCCGCGTTATTTTCTACTGCACTGATGTAAATGTGTGCAAAGGTAAAAATATCACCTGAAAATCCGTTATTTGGATGTGAGCGTTTGTTTATGCCAGGAGAATGCCCAGCTGAAGTCCAATCTCCGGTGTATTCAGAGCACAGATCACATAAAGACCAAGAGTATTAGAACGTCAGTATTTCCCATCAGAAACCTCGTCTGGCGGATCAGGAACGCTATTCAAACGTGGTTAAGATTTGTTTAGATGCTTTATGTAGCCTTCGCGCCGTTCAAGGCCCCTGTCAGGTCGGCCGCAGCTTTAAAAGCACCCGGATGGCACGCCTTGGCAGAGCGGAGGCATTCCTTCACCGTAGGCTTTTACTGAATACCATCAGAGCCTTTCTATATGTGGACTTTGAAGGAAACTGTGGCGTCTTGAATGCACAAAAAGAATCCACACGGGTAACGGTGAACGAGGGCCACCGCTGATCGTGGAGGTCGGAATGCTCAGCTCGTTTCTGCCACGGTCTGTGCGCACGCGGCGGTTACATGGTTTTCCAAGGTTAAATATTACAGCATTTAAGGTTGTTCCAAGACAAAAGGTGACAATAAACCAGCGCAGTTATTGTCTATCGTTGTGGACTCGCATTGTTCTTCTGTTGAAAAGGAAATGCATAGATTCATTCAGATTGTTCCAGTGAGAGTTTAATTATGTTCAAGGAGTGGCTTAACTAAACTGAGGCGTTCAAATATCTGAAAGGGTCAGAAAATCAATACATCTCAACTGCATTCAATTACTAACTATGAAAAAACTACCTACATGAAACATTTACAATAGAACATAACTTTTGAATTATCAACTTGCATAGTAACCCTTTCGGCCAGGAATGTCAAACTGGTTCCAGAACCAAGGCCAGCGTGACTGCAGGTTTTCATTCCAACCGAGCAGGAGCCCACCAGACTCCACCCATTTCATTATTTACTTGAAGAAATGGGTGGAGTCTGGCAGCCACACCCATACTTAAGGCGTCACAGTAGCACCATTGCGTTCTATAAGATATACTATCTTTTCGGAAGTTTCAGGGCTACAGCTTCAGTCTGTTTCACATCAAATTTCCCTGAAAACCTCTGGCTCCTAAAAAGATTGTAGGTATCTAACAATATGTACATATACAGTATACAGTATATAGAAATGCAAGTTGGAAGAAGTGAAAACGTGAAGAAATCAGCCTATAATGTCAGTAGAATGAAATGAGAATATGTTTATATAATAGTATACAAAGCAATTCTAATCAAACATCTCTAGCGCATCACTTGAGCTTTTGTTCAAATAAAAATGCCCATATTCACTAACCTTTCCAGGTGTAAACAAACTGATTAATCAAAAGAATAATTGGCCCACTGATTGATCATTAAAATAATCATTACTTACAGCTCTATACAATTCTTACCAGTGAATGAGGTACTACTGGCTGGTATAAGGACTATCAGTTATTTCTAGATGGGCGGAGAAGCCGGACACATCTATGCAGTTTTCACTTTTATTTTCTTTGTTTTTGTTTAAACTTCAGACCTCATCCCATATTTTTAACTTGAGTGGGCCTCCATGTCTGAAAAGGTGAAGTTTCTTTCCGCTCCGGTCAGCACCGTGTGTCGCCGTCTGTTTGGGGCCATCCTCCTCCGTTGTCAGAGATCATGATGATATATGCAAGAAGTTTGGGCGCCCCTGACCACACCTATTGTAGCGATGCCAGTGAAGCAACGACCGGGCGCCGCAGCCAAGAAGCTCCACAGTGGGGCCAAGTCATGTGCTGCCAGCCTCTCGCCGCTGCCAGTGAAGCAGACTGCTCGCTCACGGAGTCAGCCGCTAAGCTGCCGGTGACAGGTCCGCCACACTCCACAGCACCAGGAGTCAAGAGTTCACCGGGCTGCACTCTTTGAAGACTGACTTCCTGGTGGGAGGCTTTCAATCACATCCCTGTGTCACTGCCAAACCAAAGCACAGCAGATTGTACGCATGAAGATCAGAACCAAGTAGTGACGTGGGCGCAATCAATTCAATTCAATTTATTTTTGCTTTTCCTTAAATTACAACAGCAGTCGCCTCTCGGGGGTCTTTACAAAGTCACCAACAAGTGAATCAAAAAGATCAAACACAGAATAATAACAGGAACATAGGAGCTGTTGGGAGCAGGATGACCAATGTCCATAAATGTTAATACTGTGACTGTCTCTATCTTATTCTGCACTTTGATTTGCCTTGTGTATGAAATGTGCTGTACAAATATACTTGCCTTGCCTTAATAAATGTCATCACTGTCCTCAGACCCCCCCTGCATCGGTGGGAAAAAAGTGAGAAACCCCGGGGGGCCCACATTGAGAGAGGGGGTTTGCTCCCAGACGGACAGACTATAGATCCAGGACTCAGGCTGTAGAACGAGGGCTGAGGCTGTGCGGTGCAGGACTGAGGAGGCACCAATTGGGGAGGGGGGGCCAGGGGGGATGCCCACAGGTCCGGGGGGAGGGGGGGGGAACCGGTGCAGATGAAAGAGATCCCATCATCACGCCATGAACCATAAATCGACTTTGCCCTTTGCTTTCCAATGTGTGTCAATGATGAAGAAATGCATTACAGGGAAAAGAACTGGGACAGACTTAGATCTTGTCATGGTTAGTAGTGCCATCTTCAGGCCGATTGGTGAAACAGCATCTTGATAAATTATTAACAAATCTCCAGAGCTCTTCAAATATGTATTCTCAGATATACCAAAGTAATTAGCTCATCAATTATTAAAGCGAGATGTAGCGTTAAGCGGATACACTGTGAACATGTGTACACTTCTTCCCAGGCCTCGAGAGACAGATTAACGCCACTTTTGTCGACGATATTTGAGATTTGCATTTTGATAGAGCTTTGTTGCCTTTCGTATCGTTTCGACACCTACTCAGAAGGTGACAACGCTTGTGAATTCAGACGTTTTACAATCACAATACCGTTTTTTTTTGTTTTTTTGCAGATGCGTCAAGGGGCTTTCCTTGTCAACTCCGCCCGAGGGGGTCTGGTGGACGAGAAGGCTCTGGCTCAGGCCCTGAAAGAAGGAAGAATACGCGGGGCGGCTTTGGACGTGCACGAGTCGGAGCCATTCAGGTGATTGAGGGGACGAGGAGGATGCGGAGGACGGGGAGAGGGCTGAAGGCGGACCAGAGAAACGCTTAGAGAGGAGAAAAATGTGCTGAAAGATACATCTCGTTTTTGAAGCAAATTCAGTTTATAGAAATTAGTGCGCTGGAATCTGCTAGAACAGGCAGACAATTTTAGTGGCCCCTAAAATGATTTTCAATTATTATTATTAACTTACAGCATTGATGGTAATGGGCTACCAAGGAATGTTCAAACACATTATTATTGAAGTTAAATTGATAAATATAAAACAATGCCTTTAACTTTATATTTGGTCCAGTTTTGTTACATCCAAACAATGAACACATTTTGATTTCAGACAAAAATCAAACCAGAAAGTAATACTGAAACTCATGTCAAATAAAAGTAATCTCAAAATACCTTGAAATCGCTATTATTCTTTCTAACCACCGAGCAGTTTCCTCCTTCCATTTTCTTCCGCTTCATCCGTTGCCAGGTCGCAAAGCAGTTCCTATTTTTATTATTCGGCCCCTGACCAAAATGACCCTGCGCTAGAACCACTGCAGATGCCAGTGCAATTCTGAGGGAGCTCCACGACGTACAGATGTTAGCTAACGTAGGGAACGACAAATGATCACTCCCAATAACTATTTTTCAAATGATCGGTCTGGTCCAGCTGGTCGAATCAACAATGATACAACAAAACACAAACATGTATTAATATTTGCACAATAGCACTTCTACCTGCCACTACTGTGTATGCGCTTGAAATAAGCGCTGTTTGGTGTATTTCAGTCCAAATTAACTCAAAAAAAGTGTTGGACTTTGTATGACTAAACATTATGACACTTTTTTTCCTCAAATGGATATCGGCTCCATACACCGGGTCTCAGACCACTACTATATATTTCATTTGTTTATTTGAATGGGACTGTGCAGATTTAGCCATGAAGTCTAGTTTCCATCTGTGGTCACATGACAGGTTGATTTTACAGCCAACAAACAAACAAACAGACATAAAAAGTAGGTTAGTAAAATCAGACACATCAAACCAGGACATTACTAATGATTTATTCTTGTGTCAGAAGGCACCGGCCGATCTCTAGTTTAATACCTACTGTTCAAAACGCACGGACTAAAACCTTTTCCTGTAAATGTTTTTTGACAGTTTTTCCCAGGGCCCACTGAAAGAGGCCCCCAACCTGATCTGCACCCCACACACGGCCTGGTACAGCGAGCAGGCCTCACTGGAGATGAGAGAGGCTGCAGCCACAGAGATCCGCAGGGCCATCACAGGTGCGGACTCATCTTAGGGCTGGGACTGAACATTTGATGACAACAACAGGATTTAATTACGTGTTTAAATTTGATTAGATTAAAAAACAAAAAAGTACTAAGGATATATATGGAGAGTGAGGAGAGAAGTGTGTGCACGTGTGTGTATTTGATTGAAGTCTACTGTAGAGTATTGTGTCTTGTTTTGTGTATTGTATTGTTGTGTGTCTGAATGGCTAGAAAGGGATTGGATGAATACAAGCTTTTTTCTTCATCCAATTGCTTTTTTTTTTCCTTTTTGGTTGTTTTGTTTCTATTATTCTATTCTATTTTTCTGTGATAATCACTGGGTAACAAAAAAATATCTTTTGAAAATAGTCCAGGGTTTTAGGGCTGAATTAGACTAATGTTGATGCTCTGAGTCCGAAAATTACCTTGGTTTTGCTCAATCAGGTCAGGATTTTTTGCTACAGAAATATTTTTTTTAATTGATTTTGCGTAAAAAAACAAATTTCTGCGGATCATCAGCTGAGAAACCTTTGACGTTTTTTCCGTTTTCCTCAAGAAATAAAAGTCAACATATCCAAAGTCATTCAGTTTTTATTTACTCCTCAAATTTGATAAGCAGAATTCATAATAACGTAGACGTACATAATCCGTAACACTATGGCTGTATCTCAGAAAGTTGACCTGATAGAGAAAAATGCATGTGATATTCGGACTCAGAACACCAAAATTAGTCTAAATCCGTTGAGAAACCCCTGACCATTTTTTGGTTGTCAACTTGTGTAATTGTTTGTATATCTTGAGCATGTTTGAAACTCATCAGTAAACTAAATGAGGATATAGTCCATGGTAAGGTTTGCAGAGTGAAACTGAAGAAAAAGACATGATGCGTAGTAGGGATCGTGTCTCAGCAGAAACAACCAGACATTTGCATGGTTTTATACGGAGACCAAACTATAGCAGGTCCCCTCTGCAGCAGCCACGCCACTGATGGAAACGTTTGGGTAACCCTTAGAACAACCATATCATAGAGTAAAACATCCTTGACTTACTGGTGTAATAACTAGCTAGTTTTTTAAATTAATCGCTTTAAAAAGTCTCCCCAATTGTATTAAAAAACATTCAATTCTGACGGTACAAAAATAATTGGTCTTACATTTAAGGAGACTTCCAACTGTTCACGCCTTTTTTGTTTAAGTTTTTTCAGAAATCTTGAGTGAAACAGACAAAAGTGACATTTTTTGAGTGATAGAGGACTACTAAATTCAATAACTGAAATACATGAAAGTGTGCAAGAATATAAGATATGTAGAAAGACCAGTAGCTCAGCTTGGAATTGTGCCACTTGTACTTCATCTTAATCCTAATCATTGTTATTTACATCTAAATCGCCTGCATTTTTGTTTAATTTTTAATATATTATGTGTTTTGATTAATCTTATGCCCAGTAGTTAGCATTTCTATAGCACACCCTGAGCCGTTAGCATGTAGCATCTTTAACAGAGCCACCTCCACGTCCTTTTCCTCACATTCAACGTTTTATTCTTTATTGTCGGAGTGACTGAAAGTTGACTGCTTGTGCCACAGGCCGCATTCCTGACAGTCTGCGAAACTGCGTGAACAAGGAGTTCTTTGTGACCTCGGCCCCCTGGGGGATGATGGAGCAGCCCCCGCCCCAGGTCCACCCAGAGATAAACGGCGCGGCCTACAGGTCTGTGCAGCCCATGCCTCTCGTGTGTGTGTGTGTGTGTGTATTTTTGACCACTGCTGGTGTTAAAAGGGAAGTGGGAACGTTCATGATTGTCACAGTGTTCAGAATGATGGCGCTCCGGAGCCAAATGACCCCGTTCTCACACTGTTATTGCCCCCCCCTTCCTGCTTCTCTCACAGCCGAGTCAACCAAACCATGGTACACACCATAGCAACCGGGGGAATGCAGGACAAATTATATACCTAAATCTCAACCAGGTAAATGCAAACTGCTGGACCTTAGCTACAGATGTAACACCCCATTTCCAAACCACTGTGTAACCCTGTGTTAGTGACCCCCTAGTGACGCTAGTGACCCCAGTGACCTGAGTGTGATGTGTCCTGCCCCCACTGCACACCAACACGTTAGCGGCTTGTTTTCACTAGAGTTTCATGCATTTGTCGACAGATGAAAGCCACCGTGACTGAAGTGCTCCCATTATTTTAAGAGCAACAGCTAAGATGAAATGAATGGCCTTAATATTCATCATGACCCTTCTGGCAAAGAATGAATGAGTTTGATTTGATACTAACGTAGCACTGATTTATGATTCTTCTCCTTACCAATTAACCAAGTCATTACATTCTGCCCATCCAACCTTTAAAAAAAAAAAACCAACAGCGAGTATGTTTACAAAGCACGAGAATATGGGAATTCTGGAGAAAAAACGGGCTCGATTCTGCGTTGTTTGTAACCGCTGGTCTCTCGCGCCGCCGTCCTGACCAGGGGGAGTCTTGTGATGCTTTCAAGGGCGTCTCGTAACTTTGCCTCAGCTCTCAGACTTTGGGACAGGATATGAACATGAAGTTATTATAAAAAGTTGAAGCACGGTTTTGGCAAATGAAATCACGCAGCTTTTGTGCTTACTTTTGAGCGTCTAGATTCTACTCATGCTAAAAAGTCATTCCGTTTCAGTGGCGCAAATAAACGCAGTGTGTAAAAGTAAAATCTCGATTTTATTTTCTACTTTGGACGATTTTGACATTGAATTCACCGAAGATAAACTTTACCCGTAAAAATATTGATATTTCCGCTCAATATTAAAGTTTCAAAACAATTTTGTATTTGTTTCTCCCAATACGTGTTATAAAAGTCTTGAAAATCGTTGCAATAACAACACAGTCTGTACATTTTCACAAATTTGATTTTTTCCAAAGCCAATTGGATTCAATGAAATTTAATTCATTGCCCAGCCCTAGTGTAGCCTAAATGCATCCAAAAACTTTGGATTCTTATGGCATGGCTACCGGCTTTTCCCTGCGCTCTTAGATTCATCTGGTGGCTGTTCAAGTCCATTTCTATTCTATTCATTGAAATATTCACAACAGCAGTCATCTCGGAGGACTTTACAAAGTTGTCGATTCACCAACAACAGCTTAGAGAAGCAAACTGATCTCAGCGTATTCGGTTTCCGTGGTTACATGCCAGCGTAGAAATCCAGTTCAATCCAGTTACGCCAAACAAACTGTTTTCTTACGCCTTTACACACCAGTTTACATGCGTCTCGCTCCGTAGATGATTGATATACGTAATCAATGGAAAGATTAATTATTTACTTGCCGCTAGTGCTTTGTAAACGTACTCTCCAGCCCGACGAACCACACTACAACAGCTGTATTAAAAACCCAGTGTCTCCGCAGGTTCCCTCCCGGCGTCATGGGCGTGGCTCCCGGTGGCATCCCCGGTCCGATGGAGGGCCTGGTGCCGGGGGGAGTGCCCATCAGCGCGCACCCTCTCCCACCCGGATCTCACCCGTCCCAGGCCCCCTCCCCCCACCAGCCCTCCAAACACGGCGACCCCATGAGAGAGCACATGACCGAGCCGTGAGAGAGGAGCCCACCCTTCCCCCACCCACCCCCCTCAAAAACAACCGCCCCCAAAAAACACGCCATCTCGCCGCCATCTTGAAGTGACCAGCAGCCGCCAGAGAGCGAGGACAGTGGCGCAGGACTGCCGCGCTTAAGAGGAGGACTGGCTACAGCTCTCTCTGCTCCTTTTTCTCCATTATTTAGCTTTCCTTTACGTGGATGTTTTGACGGAGACTCTTGGGACACTCTTGCAGGACCAAACTCCGGTTTCAAAGACAATTCCTCTTCCACCCTTTTCTTCCATGTCTCGTTTTTTTACATTCTATCGTTTTTATGTTAAGTGAATTATATCTGTCTTTGTTTTTCAGTGTCAGAAAATTAATGAAATCTTTTTTTTGTTTTTTGAATTTTGTGTGCGACAAACGGTCTTGAAAATGATCTAAACAACGTCATAGTGGCTGGGTCCCCTGAATGTAGAGGTGTTAAAAGGGGAACTACAACAAATTTAAAAAAATAAATAAATACAGTTTGGCTCCTGAAATGAAATCCTCGTTCCAAATTGGGTTTTTTTGTTTTTTATTTAAATGCTGTCCCTAAATTGCCAACCACAAAATCAAAAAAATCTCAGGAAGAAAATGTGGCTCCCCTTTATCGCAAAAAAAATCGAATCCATCTCAACTTTTCCTCCTTGTGGTTATTTTTTATATATCAAATGTGCGTTTTTGATGTTCGAGGTTTTGGCTCCTGTTAGATTTGTATTGCCTTGTTAAATGTTCTTATAATCATTAGTCTTACGTGAGGCTCCCTTCTCCCTCTAGGTTCCTACTTTGTTTTTCTGCTCTGTTTGAATCCAGCCGCTGTGGCAGTGCGTGACCAGTAACATCCCTTTAGCTCCGAGATGTTAGCGACAGAAGGCTGCTAGCAGATTGTTTGGTTTTTAGTGAGTGTTTGTATTTGTTTCTTGTACAAGGTGAACATATAGCATACAGTGCAGCTGCAAACAATGAATAAAACATACTGTTCTGATGATCATTACGTCTGTGGAATGTTTTCTCTGGGTTCAAGTGCGACGCAGTCTTTGGATTGTTGCACATTTTAGAAGAAGAAATCCAAACAAGCAGAAAGTCTGGTTTTTTATCTCTCTCCAGGATTGTTTTTGCTCTCAGAAGGAGTGCTTTGGTCAATATTGTCTGTCTGCCCAAGACGCTAATGATTTAAGAGAAAGACTGATGAGAGGTGCAGGAAGCAGTCTACAGAAGCAGAGATGAGCACTGAGTGTGATGGGCGTCAGAAAAGGTGCTACAGATAAAGACTCCATTATTAGTTTCCACAGTTTACCTGGCAACAGAGAGTGCTGTTGGTGAAACGGTGTCCTCTCCACTCGAGCCCAGCTGCCTCTGAATCTGTGCTTCTCTACACTTCATTCAACTCTCGTACTTCCAGGATCAACGCAAATACTAGTGATTGAAATAAACAGCCTCAAACGACAATTATAATCAACAGAAGGATCGGCCCAAAGCTGCTGTCGTTCTTTAAATCATTTCAAAACAATAAAATGAACAAATCCTGCATCAAGTCGACAAACTCAGCATTTCTTGAGAGCAGCCGTGTGTGACTCAATTATGACAGCAGCTGACTGAAGGGGTTAACGTGTGATTAATTACACATTACTAATACACATGTAATACGTTGCACTACTTAAAAGTTCCAACAAAGAAACACTAACATTAGAAACTGCTCCTGGGGCTGTGCTGTAAGTAACGGAGTAGTAATCTACAAGTTACTGATAATGTAACATTATCCACACTGAAGACCTGCGTGAGTAATGCACCCATGCGCCGCTAGAGGGCGGCCTTCAGGTTGATTGCAGCGTCATCTATTCCAATGGTTCCCAAAGAGGGGGCCGCGAGAGGATTTTTAAATGCTATACTTTTTTGTCATCTTGGACCGAAAGTGTATGAAGAATCCTTACATTTGATGCTTTTTTTTAAAAGCTGGATTTCAGTGTTTTGAAGTGAGTCTCCTGATCTCTTCTGTTTTAAGTGTGAAGGACATGTGTGGATCTGTAACAATAATGACTGAGCCTTGAATAACTGACGGAACAACACATGTCAGAGTTTAATATTTATCGTCTGTACATTTCCTTTGCAATTATGGGAAAACGTAGTTATTCAACTTTCAAAACAACATCCCAAACAATGTGTGTCTTAATATGACAAACTGTTGTTTATTTTCTCTTTTTAATTAAATGGGCACTTCAACAAATGACTTCTGGTTTCATTATAATTGTGGCATTAGCATAAAGTAGTTGCTATGGTTTATGGCCTTATAATTATGACACGGGTGTTGTGCTGAGTCTACATGTATGTGAGAGAAATGCCAAAACATACAGGAGGCATTTTAGTTGGACATTCAAAAAGGTTTTCCTTTATTTTTTCCTGGTTGGCCTGTTCTTTGCGTTACACTCTTATAGTGAAGTCAGGCCTAAATCCACAAACCATCATAGTCACAACTGCAACTATTGCATAAATACAAAGAAAGCAACATACAGGTGCTCCGAACACGTACGACTCGGATCAAACACAGGAGGTTACAGTACACAATGGCAGGAAAAACAAATGCAAACATTCACGGCAAAAAAGTAAAGTAACACCTTTTTTTTCTCTTTTGTCACTTTGGTTTTTACGCAGCGGTCTTTTGCGACGGCTTGATCAGATGTAGAGATGGCGGCACGTAAAGACAGCGAACAGGAGAGCGGACGTGGACCGTGAAGATGAACAGACTGAGGATGAAGCAGATCAGAAATAACGGACATGGATGCGTTTCTCTCTCTCTCTCTCTCTCTCTCCTAAATCGCCCGAGACAAAAAAAAAAGAAAAAGAAAGCACCACGTTTTAGGCAAATCCACTTTGAGGTACTGCAACAACGATGGACTGTGTCCTTCGCTCCTCACAGCAACAATGTCTCTGTGCAACTTATGTCTTCATTGAGATCTGAGGGATAAAACTAAACCACAGGAGAAAAACAAAAACATACAGGAAAGTCAAAAAAAAAAAAAAAACGCATCAAACAATAAATATATGTAGATTACAGTTGAACCCACACACGGTTCAATCAGAAGAGTCGTGTGCTAAACCTTGGTGAAAGTAGCTTGCCAAAGGGAACAATCTCCCTTTGTATGACCTTAAATTCAAGCAACAATATTTATATAGAAATGTTATAATAAATGTGCAGTGCTTATTAATAAGGATTAAAGTCATTTCTTATATCATTACTATTATTATACAGATCTGTTTCTCTACTGGGCATCCTGAGCCACACGTAGCAATATTGGCTTTGTCCCTGCCCGCCCCCGAAAAGAAGAAGAAAAACTAAAACTTTTTACAAACCTCAAAATTTGGAAGTGTGCTTAAGTCAGTGCCCATGTTGAACTGTTATAAAGACTTCAATCAATGCTGGTATAATAATTCCTTATACTTTTTTTATTTAAACAACCACATGCATTACATCTATAGATAGAGATTTTCTTTCCCCCGTTATATTTGTAAACTCGTTCCTTAGTTTTGTCAGTCTTGTGGTAAAAGGAAAAAAAATACCAGAAAAAATAGCCACGTTTGTAAAGTCCTCTGTCGTGTAGAAGTGAGGCTTTCACAGTTTGCCCGTGTAGGAAACGCCATAACAAAAAAAACCTTAACGTTGGAACTGAAACTATAAATCGCGTTTTTGTTGTTGTAGTGTCGGGTCACTCGTCCTCGTCCTCCTCTTCCTCCTCGCCGTCTGAGAGGGAGGCGCACGGTCGGATCTGTCTGTATCCGTCCAGCCATTTCTCCACCATCTGAGTGACCAGCGGGTGGTTCCGGCGCCGCGAGCTCTTCTGCAGGGCCACCAGGACCCCGCCCTCGGTGACGCAGCAGTCCAGCCACTCCCGCAGCAGCTTCTCCTGTTGCTCCTCGTTCCCCATCTGCACCGGGGGCAAAACACAGATCTGAGGTTTAGATACGGAGACTGGACAGACGGCATCTTTAAATAGTTTATCAAATCAAGCCTCCTTTTTAACACGCCTGAAAAAGGGGAAAAAATGACCCTTTACTGGTTTCCTCGACTAGTTTTATGCACTTTAACCATTAAACTGCTCCTCAACCATTTGGTACAAGGCCTGGAATAAAAAAAAACTAGGGGTTCAAAAAACAAAATATAATAATAATTAGTGTTAGTAGTGCTCCTACATCTTTGAAAATCAAAATAAAGAAAATGACATTGCTTTCTTCGAGGAGTGAATATTAAAGGGTTAAAAATCAAGGTTTGAGAACCCTTTAGGACATTTTTACTGCTTAAACTTCTTATAAAAAGAAAACTATTTACCTTGTTATAATAAAAAGATAATTATGAAAAACAAGTCGCTGGACTCTGGGGACTGAGGGTCAGTAGTTTTGGTCTCTGATGACTCGTTTTCTTTAGTTATAAGTTGGAACAATCTGGATGCAACCCGAGACTGCACTGGGGAAGTCCTAAGACACACGGCAAATAATAATAATAATAATAATAATAATAATAATAATTATTATAATTATTCTTATTATTATTATTATTATTAATAATAATAATAGTCAGCAGTTTTACACCATCGCTACCATGATACAATAAATAACTGTCCAGAAACAGCATGGATCTCAACATTAACCATTAAAAGATTATTACAAAAAGAAGACGGTGATAACACATGGTTGTGTTGCCGCACAGTTTAAAAACCTGTCGTCCTCGTGAGCTGCAGTCCTTTCTACAAACCAGTAGTAATGAAGCGTCATGACGCGTAAAATGGTTCTTTCAGAAGAGATTTGTTCTGTCAAAGGGAACCGCTGTAATAAACATGGTCTGATGAAGCCTCCGGAGACAAACAGGACGCAGAGAAATGAAGTCACACACAAACAAACACTCTGAGGTTTGTTTGATGGAAACGCCACAAAAGACGGTTCTGGATCCGTGATTATTTCTGAGGCTCGAGCCAAACCTGAACAAACATGTTGTGTTGCTTTGAAGAATGAGAGAAAATGTGTCGCATCCGTGAGTGGAGTCATCAGGGATCTGTTACAACAACTGAGGACCACTTTCTTTGGACCAGGTCTGGATCACTTTCTCTGGCCCAGGTCTGGATCACTTTCTCTGGCCCAGGTCTGGATCACCTTCTCTGGCCCAGGTCTGGATCACCTTCTCTTGCCCAGGTCTGGATCACCTTCTCTGGACCAGGTCTGGATCACCTTCTCTGGACCAGGTCTGGATCACCTTCTCTGGACCAGGTCTGGATCACCTTCTCTGGCCCAGGTCTGGATCACCTTCTCTGGACCAGGTCTGGATCACCTTCTCTGGACCAGGTCTGGATCACCTTCTCTGGACCAGGTCTGGATCACCTTCTCTGGACCAGGTCTGGATCACCTTCTCTGGACCAGGTCTGGATCACCTTCTCTGGACCAGGTCTGGATCACCTTCTCTGGACCAGGTCTGGATCACCTTCTCTGGACCAGGTCTGGATCACCTTCTCTGGACCAGGTCTGGATCACCTTCTCTGGACCAGGTCTGGATCACCTTCTCTGGACCAGGTCTGGATCACCTTCTCTGGACCAGGTCTGGATCACCTTCTCTGGACCAGGTCTGGATCACCTTCTCTGGCCCAGGTCTGGATCACTTTCTCTGGCCCAGGTCTGGATCACCTTCTCTGGACCAGGTCTGGATCACCTTCTCTGGACCAGGTCTGGATCACCTTCTCTGGACCAGGTCTGGATCACCTTCTCTGTACCAGGTCTGGATCACCTTCTCTGGACCAGGTCTGGATCACTTTCTCTGGCCCAGTTCACATTATAGTGATACTAACGATAGAGAAAGTTTCTTAAACAAACTCTCACAAAACAATGTATGGATCTTAATATGGACTCTTCAGGGTTTAGTTTTTTTTACTGAGCCTAAAACTAAAGTCTTGAAAAGGAACATTCCTCGACTGTTCTGAAACCTGCTTCTGTCATGGACACGTCAAATGCTTCAAATGTTGCTCAGTTCGGTCTAAAACATGTTTTCATTATTTTAGTGCTTAAAAACCTGAAGATTTGTGACTTTGCTGAAGTTACATGAAGTTGTTTTAGATAAAGTTGAATGAAAAAGTGAATAAGAATCCAGTTTTAAAGATGAAAGTATAAAGTCTCTAGTGTTGAGGAACAACACAGAGACAAAGAGCAGCTCGGGCCTCACCTCCTGCGCTGACAGGAAGTGGATGTGCAGCAGCTTCCTCTCACTGTCCACCAGCGGCAGAAACGTGACCGTCACGTCGTCGTCTGTATTGAGGTTGGCGCCCGCGCCTCGATTGTCAAAGCCGTCGTTCTCCATGGCAACCAGAGCCGAGAAGTGGCCACGCGTGTACCCCAGAGCGATGGGGCTTTTCCAGCAGAAGCTCGGCTCCCATAAGAGGGGCAAGTACACACCTGGCAACCCACAAGAAGACCATCATCACAGGACGTCACAGACACACGCTCAGACACATGAGAATAACAATCATAATTATTTTGCATTGTTTTGACACATGACATTATTCATTCACCCTGTACGGGGGTGATTAACTACAACTGTAGCCACACCTGACCTGAGGCAGACCGGCAGAAGCGAGGCAAACATTATGGGCCATCGCCCCCTCCGACCACCACCACATTACAACAGTATTTATGTATGGACTGTGTGACTGTAGCCTCACAGCTGGAGCACTTCACTTTGTTCCAACCGCTCTCATAACAGTCTGCTTCCATCACTAGTTTTCACTTTCTGGAATATTTGGCTTCTGACACACTTTACGCTCTCAGTGGGTAAAAGCTAAAACATTTCTAATAAGATAAAGAAACAAAAATGTGTCCAGCTTTGACTAAACACTAATGTTCCTTTTGATGTTTGCCTTTTTGCTCTTACAACTTGCACCTTGAGCCAAAGCAAATTCCTAGTTTGTGACTTCCTGACACGAACAATGGCAATAAAAAGTACTGTGATTTAAAACCATCTCCTGGTTGAGGCGATGTCAGAGCTGTGTCTGAAGATAGAACAACACACGTCAAAGAGATTACACCTCAACCAGTGGTGGTCTTTAACTCGTCACAGATAATCCTTTTGTCATGCGTGTTCTGAGGGAGCAAAACACCAGAGACATGTTTGAATTTGAGTTTACGTGTGTATATGGTTTAGTCCATGGTTGCCACAGCTACAGAAACAGAGCTGGTGTTCTTACAGAGGCCTGCAGAGAGACTGAAGACGGTGGGAGAGCACTTGTGTCTCTCGTTTCAGCCGTAGACAATAAACAAAGCTGATGCAGATAAAAGCGGCGTAACAGACACCGGCGTCACATTGTGCTCGCCGCCTTCACCTGCTCGCCCTCTCCGCTCCACATCTACATCCGCTCCCTGGCTAATGTTTTGCATCTGGCCTCTTGGCAACAGTAACCGCGCGTCCATCTCACGGCCCTTCCCCGCTCTCTCTTCCAGACGCAGAATTAAAACCAGATTGTTTTTTGTTTGTTTTCTGCCTCTCGTGAAAAGCCCCACTGTTTTGAGTGTTCTCGCCAAACGCCTGGACTCCAGTCTAAACGCATCAGCTTGTTCTGGGATGTATAAAGTGGCAGTTTTTTCCCCCCATCTCTCCAAATCTAAGAATGACCACATTAGGCTAAAACACAGTACAGCACCCGGCAGCAGCAGTTATGTCAGCTATGTCAGAAATGCAGACAATGTGAGCTCAGACTGTCATTTTTCTCGGCCCCGGCCCCTGCCCCGGTCTAAAAAACGCAGACCCACCTTGAAAACGGGTGTACCCCAGCGTTTCCCCACGGAAACTTTTGTAATACTTCACTCCGTAGACGATGATGGGCCGACGAAGTATATGTGCGAGAACAAATATGTGGGTCTGCTCCAAGCTGGACCCGGGCTGCAAGGAAACAAGGACAGGGGTCAGGTGGAGTGATGAGGAGAAATGGATGAGGTTTATAGTTTATTTGTATGGCACAGTTTATACATGAAGGCGAATGCTTAAAAAAACTAGAAAGGAGACGTCAAAATCACGCAAGGCATAAAATCATAATCACAGTAAATTTTGGGTCTGGTTTGTGTGTCTTGGTCTTGTCTGCCTCTTGCCATGTGTGTGTGTTGTGTGTGTGTTTGTGTGTGTGTGTGTGTGTGTGTGTGTGTGTGTGTGTGTGTGTGTGTGTGTGTGTGTGTGTGTGTGTGTGTCATTGGTTGTTATATGTTTTGTTGTATGGTTTTGATTCTTGCTTTTTTAGCATTCGACTAATCCCTTTTCAAACCATGAACAGGTTTTCTTGTTTTCTCGTATTATATTTTCCTGTGAATAATTGTATCGCATACATGTTTGTAATAAATAAACAAATGAAAAATGAAAAAAAAAGTTTCCCCAGCCATTCGGTGGATCACTTTTTGAGTCACTATATGGACTTGAAGCTTGGAACTGAAATGTACCTCATCGGGGCATTTTCTATCTGTCTTTTACCCTGAAACTGCATCTCAACCATTTAGTAAAAGGCCTGGAATTCAAAAAAAGGGGGGTGGAAAAAAACAACATATTTAACATGGTCAGAGATGAAGCCCGTCTCACATTTTCAGAAAGACTGAAAATCCAGATTCTACCCGCGTGAACCTGAAACGCTGCCTCCCCAATGTTTAGTCCTGGCACCAGTAGGAAGCCAAACGCACACAAAATCCGACTTCAAATGACTGTGGCGTCGGCTCTGACAGTGTGTAACAACAACGCGGCTGAATACTTTGTGTGTGAGGTCACATATTGTGGAGAAGTGCTGCTGACAGACAGGAAGCGCTCAGACGGGGCAGGACACATTAAGCGAGCGGCGGTGAAAGCATTAGGTCTTTGAAGTCTTACATCACTGCTACTGTCGCCTTCGCAGCTTAGCGCACCGTCACGGTTTTCCGTTTAAGCTTTTTAGGTTTAAGATGATTGTGATGCGGGCGTTTTGAACTGCTGCAGGAAACACGCACGAGGCCTCAGGGGCCATCGAGCTTCAGGGGCCCACGGAGATGTCTAAAGCAGCTCTGTTTACAAGTCTCTCCATGGCCTCGCACCAAAGAACATCAGAGACATGTTGGTGCCATTATGGACCGAATCTGAGGAGCACAGGGACTGGCCTCCTACTGGTGACTCTGAGGGGCACAGGGACTGGCCTCCTGCTGGTGACTCTGAGGAGCACAGGGACTGGCCTCCTGCTGGTGACTCTGAGGAGCACAGGGACTGGCCTCCTGCTGGTGACTCTGAGGAGCACAGGGACTGGCCTCCTGCTGGTGACTCTGAGGGGCACAGGGACTGGCCTCCTGCTGGTGACTCTGAGGAGCACAGGGACTGGCCTCCTGCTGGTGACTCTGAGGAGCACAGGGACTGGCCTCCTGCTGGTGACTCTGAGGAGCACAGGGACTGGCCTCCTGCTGGTGACTCTGAGGAGCACAGGGACTGGCCTCCTGCTGGTGACTCTGAGGGGCACAGGGACTGGCCTCCTGCTGGTGACTCTGAGGAGCACAGGGACTGGCCTCCTGCTGGTGACTCTGAGGAGCATAGGGACTGGCCTCCTGCTGGTGACTCTAAGGGCTGGTGACTGGCCTCCTGCTGGTGACTCTAAGGGCTGGTGACTGGCCTCCTGCTGGTGACTCTGAGGAGCACAGGACCTCTTGCTAGTGCCCAGAGTCAGAACTAAACATGGAGGGGTGCATTTCGGATTCATGCAGCTAATATCTGGAAGAGTCTTCCTGAAAAATGTGAGACGGGCTTCTTTGATATGTTCAAATCCAGGTTAAAACAGTTCTTCTTAGCAGTGCATACAACTGAGGGATTTTATCGTTACTCTTTTTAATGTACAGTGATTAATGATTGTAAAGCCTTGTGTCTCTCTATTGTTTTGTCAAGCACTTTGAGTTGCCTTATGAACTGTGCTACACAAATAAACTTGCTCGTTACATAGACTTGTCCGATACATCGTGGTCTCATGACTCTCTGCAGCTGGCTATGTGCAGGATAACACAGCTCGCTACACAGATGGCACTCGTATAAAAAAAAGCAGATTCTCATTTTCCCTGATAGCGCAGTAACACAGTGTTTATCTGAGAACAAAGCAAAGTGTCCTTTTCCAGCTGCGGCCGACACCAGACGCTTAGTTCTCACTCGCACTTTATGTTTTTATGCAGTCTAATAAATGGGTACAGCTTCAGAATCAGGGTTTGCACTAGTAGTTTGTAAATGCTGTATTGTATTCTGTTCATATTCTATTAGGGCTGTAATCAACACATTTCCATTTCATTCTGTGTCATTCTAGAGTGATCCGAGTCTTGGAAGGTTCAGACATGATAAATCCATTCACTGAATTAGTCAACAACAATTTCAATAATTGTGAATTTTTGAAAATGAGAATATATTTTAAAACTTTATTTCAAATGTATTTCTGTATTTTGACTTAAAATGTAAAACCAATAAATGTTACGGACAAATTCAGTGCAAAGTGACATATGCCGAGTCTTTGTTTTAAGTGATTATGGAACACAGCCCATCTTCAACCTTTTGGGGTTTTTACAAGCTGTGAGCCAATTATCAACATTATAACTAATATCACGTCCTATATTTTTTTCACGTTGTGAGTTGATTTACAGAAGTCATATTTGAACAACATTATAATTTCATTGTTATCTGTATGCAGCTAAGTACAGTATTAGCTTCTGACGACTCTGAAACCCTGCCTGCTAACTGCTCCGTGTATACACTTTAAGTGTACTTCACTTAGGCGCAGTATATGGACTACTGTCTCAAGATAAATTATGGCTCAAATCCTACGGCTTAAGACTGTGTAAGATGTTATGGTTTGGATGTTTGGATTGAGATACATTAATTATTCATTATCTTAAATAATAGATATGATCTTGTGTAATTATCTTGTTTGAGTTCTCTCATTCCTTCCGTCCTATATGAACTTGTCTTGTGGTCACTGGGGACTTTTGCAGATGTATTCCAATGTGGTTTTACAGCAAATTGAAAATACATGAATCTGAATTTGAATCTAATGTGTGTGTAACAAAAACAATGAAATATCCTCACTGTGGGACGAGTCAAGGTTCTCTTAACTTCAAATTGACTCAGGAAATGCCCTGGACCTAATATTCTAACAGGGGAAGAGTTCCGCACCTGACTGGCCAGGGACAGTATGAAGGCCCAGTCCTCCTGCCACTGCTCCTCCCGCAGCGAGAAGTGGAGGCCGAAGCTCTGGGAATACCACGACTCCCACTCTTTCCAGCGTGTGTAGAACCTGCACACACGCACACACAGACACACAAACGCACTTACTACTGCACTCCTCCGCCGCCCTGTGGTTTGGGCTGGTCGGTCTCAATACATCCAAATAGTCATTTTCTCATGGAGGAGGCCGACCATTTCAAACAAAGATGAGTCACACAAAGCCTTTAAGCTGAGGTGTTGTCATTCCCAGGAGTTTCCCAATTTAACTATGGCTTCTGTGCTATCAAGGCAACACACAGTTTTACATTTCACCTTTCATGAGAATACAATTGGGTGCTCATGTGGTGTGGTGTGTGTATGTGTACAGTACGTGTATGCGCGTGCATGCCATTGTAAGTTTATATCAAACTTATATTTCTCATACAGAAGAACAAAACAAACTGATTTTTAAATAATTTATTTGCAAATTATGGTGGAAAATAAGTATTTGGTCAATAACAAAATTGTTGACAATGACAGAGCTAAATCGTTTTCCGTTAGGCTTCACAAGGCTTTCACACACTGTTGCTGGTATTTTGGCCTATTCCTCCATGCAGTTCTCTTCTAGAGCAGTGATGTTTTGGGGCTGCGCAACGCGGGCTTTCAACTCCCTCCAAAGACTCTCTATGGGGTTGAGATCTGGGGACTGGCTAGGCAATGCTTCTTACAAAGCCACTCCTTTGTTGCCCGGGCGGTTTGTTTGGGGTCATTGTCATGTTTTATCTTCAATGCCCTTGCTGACGGAAGGAGGTTTTCATTCAAAACCTCAAGATACATGGCCCCATTCATTCTTTCCTATACACGTCGTCTTGGTCCCCTTGCAGAAAAACAGCCCCAGAACATGATGTTTCCACCCCCATGCTTCAAAGTCGGTATGGTGTTCTTTGGAAGCAACTCAGCATTCTTTCTCCTTCAAACAGGACGAGTTGAGTTTTTACCAGAAAGTTCTATTTTGGTTTAAACTGACCATATGATGTTCCAATCCTCTTCTGGATCATCAAAATGCTCAATTGACACAATTGAGTCACTGGCAGTGTAGTGTGTTACTGATGGTAACCTTTGTTACTTTGGTCCCAGCTCTCTGCAGGTCATTCACTAGTTCCTCGTGTGGTTCTGGGATTTTTGCTCACTGTTCTTGAGATCATTTTGACCCCACAGGGTGTGTGGAGCCCCAGATGGAGGGAGATTTATCAGTTGTCTTTTGAGTCTTCCATTTGCTCCCACAGTGGATTTCTTAACATCAAGCTGCTTACCTATTGTAGATTCAGTATTCTGGTGTCCTTTGACAGCTTTTTGGTCTTTGCCGTATTGGAGTTTGGAGTGTGACTGTTTGAGGTTATGGCAGGTGTCTTTCATACTGATGAGTTCAAACAGGAGCCATTAATACAGGTAACAAGTGGAGGACAGAGGAGCCTCTTAAAGAAGGAGTTACAGGTCTTGCTTGTTTGTAGGTGACCAAATACTAATTTTCCACCATAATTTGCAAATAAATTCTTTAAAAATCAGATGTGATTTTCTGGATTTATATTCTCATTCTGTCTCTCATGGTTGAGCTATACCTATAATGAAAATCACAGGCCTCCCTCATCTTTTTAAGTGGGAGAACAATTGGTGGCTGACTAAATACTTTCTTGCCCCACTGTATGTGTGTGTGTCATAAACCGGGAGAAGCAGATGACTGACTGAGTTCTGATGTCACCCAAAGTGTTTGCCTTAGAAGCCGGTTAGAGCTAGCTCGACCAGGCTAACTGAGCTGGAATCTGGAGCCAAATGTATGCAGTTTTTGTGGGTAGCAACCACAGAGAAACCAAGAGCCCCAGTCTGTTCACGCTCACGCTACTCTCTGGCTGATACGAAATTCACGGACAGGAGGACGGTGTTTGGTCAGTTGATATAGGGATAACTGGATTCAGATAGACATTTAATAAACTACAAATACCACCATCGCAAAACCATGATTTCTTTAAGCCCAAAATGGTAAGCATGACACAAACTGAGCAAGAGGAGTTTACGTTTCAATGGAATTCAATAAGCTCCGAAGCGAGTTGGGGCAAAACATCATATAAAAGCTCTTTTCGTTGGGCTTCATTGAGCTAGCAGGTTATCACTGGCCATCTGTTAGCATTCTATGGTGTGCAGGTGTGTGTGTGTGTGCGCAGTGTGTCGCTCACCAGTGGGAGCAGTCGTGCAGGCTGTCGTGCAGAGTCTTCCTAAGGACCGAGTCTTTGTCATAAATGCCCCACGTGGCCTGGAGCACAGAGTCCAGCAGACAGTCCCCGGCCGTGCGGTTCCACAGAGCATACAGACGACTGTCCAAGCGACTGCCCAGCTCCAGAGACCAGTTTATGATGGGGGCCTCCTCTTCCAGCTCTGAACAGAGAGGGAGACATGTGAATGTTTTCTACTCCAAAAATAGCACAAAGGTCTATTTCTTATGCATGTATATGGTTATTAAACAACATCTGACACAGGAGAGCTTATTTGAGGCAGCTGGGTTTCATATGCCTATGCAGATCAGCGATGTCAGCTCTTCAGAAGGGTAGAGCCTCAGCATACAGGATTACTAAAACATCCAGGGGCATTAGAAGCAGGTGACTTACACTAAGCCTAGGTCTGGGTGTCTATGAATTTTCACAAAGTCTACATCATTGACTATTTCTACTCTAAGAAAATATTGATAGCTTAAAGACTTAGACATTTGTCTTTCATTTTGCATTTCATATTTGATGACATAAGATGTTGAAAGTGTGGTGAGGCATTGATGTGATAATGTGAGCGGGTAGATGTGTGGAAGTGATCATCTGTGTGAATCTAATGAATCCTAAAACTCAATTAGGCTGATTGGGGCAGAGAGAAGTAGGAGATAAAGACGCCCGGAGTCTGGCACACGGTCAAGTGCAGAGGAGAACTGTGCACAAGTAACACAACACTGCCAGCTCTGGGCTCTGCTCCCCTTCGGCTGCATGCACTGGAGCTCAGATCACCGCTCTTTAAAAAGATACATTAGTCAATGAATGTGTTTGTTGTTTAGTATGCACGTCTTGTGTATTTGATTGTGGATTAAATGCAGCACTGTACAAGGGGACATATGTATGCAAAACATGGGTAGGTTGATTTAAAAGCATAACAGCAGAAAGGTAAGAAGTACAGGATCTGTTTCTGCAGTTTTATTCTGAGTTGACAGAACGCGTCTCGTCCTTGCTGGCTCGTCTTAAATGCTTACCCTTTTGTACGTCTCTGTCTAACACCTCATCAAACAGCTTTTCCTGAACAGCTGGAGGCAAATCTTCAATGTCTGAAAGAAAATAATGCTTGCATTATGAACTTGTAACTATACAGAAGAAAAAAGGCCAAAGTAGAAATATTCTTGTGTTGTAGCTGTGTTGTGTTATTCTCACAATAGCCGGTGGCTTTCTGAGCACGCTCGGAGCTCTTGTCAACAGTAGCTCATTCTTCAGCAAAAATAAATGAATGCATTGACTTAGGGGAAGTGAACAGAAAGCCACTGTATAGTGGCGAGGTGCCAAGGACTGCATTGTCCTGAATACTCCACATAACACAAATCCTCAGCTTTTGCCACGAGCAACGCGCAATTACATTCCACATAATGTAGCTAGACTGTAGAAAGTGGTGACAATAATTAATTGGGTTTGGTTGTGAACAGTGTGCGAGGACGTTATGGAGAAAAAGAGCCAGGGGTTGCCTCCGTCTCCTGGTCGTTCCAGACAGACAAATGTTGTATTATGTCCCTGCAGCCTCCAAACACAAGACATTTCCACACAGCGCCAGTAAACAAAACAACACAGGCACTCTGTCATGCACTTGGCAAAGCAGAGGACATCTGAGGAGAGCTCCCTGACATTCAGACCAAGTCCAGAGCAACAACCATCACACTCTTTGTATGTGAAACTGATTATCATTTTATCAATTTCATGGACTCTACAGTAAATACTCAGGGCCATGTGGAATTTGGCATGAGGATTTCTTAAGACAGTAGCTCAGTTGGTAGAGCATTGGCCTTAAGGCCAGAAGGTCGTGGGTTCAATTCCCACCTCTGCACCTTCTCCACCGACTCCCACTGATGACTGCTGTCGTTGTGTCCTTGGGCAAGACACTTAACCCCACTTTGCCCAAAGCCCCCACTGAAAGATCAAGGCTATGCTCACACTCAGAGAGCAGCCGTCCTCCTGTGGACTCACCACCTGCAGAGGGTCAGTGAGGGGCTGGTGCTATGAGACTTGGGTGGCATCTCTGACTGGATTTCTTAAGACCACAGACATTTTTAGTAATTAAATCTATAATATTAGTGCAAACCTCCAGGAGCTGTCAAGGGTTTCTAAAATATGACCAATGACAAGAACTATTACAGACTCTAAACACATGTCAAAAGACATTTATTCAATCAACGAGAAACACACAAGAGTCAAAAATACACATTTTGTCAATTCAACTAGATTCCTACATTTTCAAAACAAGTCTTAAGTCTCAATACTGGAGAATTTTGTTGGAGAATTGGCTCAATGATATTGGTAAAACCAATATCCTGATTCGGCTTTTCAGTTGATGTAATAAGACCATTAACTGACTGGTACAAATTCATCTGAAACTTATCTGATACGTGTATGAGGGATGGAATAACTTTAAGTCATTATATAATTCTGAAATCTAAATGTGTAGTTTGTAACATGAATCAGACAATAATCTATTTTAAAATCGCACCCAGGGTTCAGCTGTCGTTGCGCCGCTGAGCACTGACCTGCGGGGAGCGTGAAGGTGACCAGGTCTGTGAGGAAATAACAGGTGAAGTCGCCCTTTCTTTGGTGCAGAGAAGCCGCTACTTCACGCCGGATCTGCTCCGTCAGCTCGGGGCACACCATGGCGGGGATGCACTTAGCAGCCTGTTGGGACACCTGCAGGGGAGACATACAACAGACAAATCAGACAGAAGAAAAAGAATAAGAAGAGAGACAGAAGAAAACAGACAGAAGATAGAACAAGACAGAAGAAGAAGACGACGACGACAGAAGAAGAAGCCTGAACTGGTGCAAGACAACCTCCAATTGTGAGTGCAGCAAGAATAATTGACAAGAACTCATAAAATAGCAAACAGTAGTAATGATTTTTGGTTGATGCTAGTGTTGGCCCTGGGGGAAAGTAGGACAGTGTGGAGCAGAGAGGAGAGGTGTGCGTAGATAATCTGGGATCACACACTGGCACACGGCGCTCCAGACTCTGCTCTAAGCCCACACGCTACATATCACACTACTTATGAAAACTAATATAGCTTTGCATTCACCACTGAAGTATGAAAAAAGGCACATCATGCTCACCCCACGATCAAACAAAACTAGACATTTGGAGAACTAAGGTGAGCGGAGTTAATTTATACATTTCTCCTATGTGAGATCAATAAAATTGATCTTATTTTAGCTGTAAGGATTGTCAATTGTGTAGTCTAACCGTTAATTATGATGTGTCTGAATTCTGCTTTTTTGCACAGAAAAGAGATTTATTAGAACTAGACTCGTACCTGGGCATTAATTTGGCTGTACTCTTCCATTGCACGGCATAACATAGGTCTGCCTGAATGGAATGATCTCCAGTAAATGGTTTTCAGTATACATTTTCATTTTCTGAAGCTGCAGATGATAAGATAAGAATTCCTTTATTCGTCCCACAGTGGGGAAATTGTGATGTTGCAGCGCACATATAGGACAGTAGTAAGAGCACACAGGGATCATACACACAATATACAAATAAGTAGTAGCCATGTTTCTTAGCTAACATAACTAGTTGTAGATGCTGAAAATGCTTCAATACCAGGAAAAAATAAAATATATATATATATATATATAATATATATATATTATATATATATATATATATATATATAATATATATATATATATATATATATATGTGTAGTAGTAGTGCAGTTATATACTGTACAGTTAAATAGTGCAGGATAATACGTAGATAAAGTAAAGTGACATTGTTCTGTGACATTCTGAAGTTGCAGTATTGCACATTGCACATGATTTAAAGGAGCTATATGTAATATTTGCATGTCAAGTCATCATTAAATGACCCGAATATTTCAAAAGGCGTTATTAAATCATACTCTTTTCGAATTCATCTTTAACTGATAACAGTAGTTCAGCCGAGATATTTGATTATCAAAATTAGTTTTACGACCCGTAAAAGTTGTTATTGTTTTGATTTTGATGTCCTACCCTCCGCCGTTTCGCCAATCAGGAAGTGTCATGTAAGTCCGTGATCGGGTTGCCAGAACTCCGCGCGGCTCATTAATCTCAGTGGTAAAATAACATGTGGCGCAGAACTAAAAAAGGTCTTGTTATGACTCTCAAATCATTAATGACAAAACAAAGACTAAAACGAGGATTTATATCGGGACGCCTTTGAACAATTGAGACAGCTGATAAAAGTTCACGTGTGAACTAAAAGTTCACGTGTGGTCTAAACTGTGCGCTTACGATGCAGGAACCCGGGTTCGATTCCGGGTTATGTCTTTTTGTATTTATTGCATGTTATCACATTCTATGACAGATTGCTCTAAAAACGGTAAAAGATGAAGGTCAAGACGTTTTTTTGCAGATTATAGCTTAATTGTAAAAATAATCATTTAAGACCACATATACCCCAATTAAAATAATGTTAGTCTCTTTTTGATGTGGAACTTTTACATGTTTGTCTAAAAAATAGGGAATAAATAAAATTGAAAGGTGATATCCTCTTGAGCAAACCCTGATGTTGATACGCTGAAGAAATACGTTCCAACATCCATTCTTCCCACTCCTATTTTGGACATCAATTGCTTATTTATTTTGCATAAACTATGTATAATTACATTGCTTTTATTTTGTTTTTTGTTTTTTATCTCAAATGTCCAAATAATAATAATAAAAAAACAATTATCAAAACATTCATTCAGCATTAGCACGGCTGTCATGGCAATGTGAATGGAGACGGACAAACAACTGATAAAATAATTCCTTGTGTTTGCTGCTGGATTTGGTGTGAATCTGGCAACCTGAGTCAGGGAGAGTGGGAGAGGACTACAAAATATTGACTGTGACTGCAGTACCACTTTTGGCCAGATTTTTACATATTGTTCCTTTAAGAATTTACTTAATTACAGATGAATGAAATTTACAGGCTCAGCAGTTCTTATTGTACAGTCTGACAGCAGCAGGAAGGAAAGACCTACGGAAGCTCTCCTTCACACAGCCAGGGTGAATTAGTCTGTCACTGAAACTGCTCTCCAGACAAGAGAGAGTGTCCTGCAGGGGGTGACAATCATGGTCCAGCATAGATGTTAGTTTGCTCAGGACCCTCCTGTCCCCCACCTGCTGCACTGTGTCCAGGGAACAGCCCAGGACTGAGCTGGACTTCCCGATGACCTTGTCCAGCTTCTTCCTGTCCCTCTCTGTGATGCTGCTGTTCCAGCAGACGCACACCAGATGATGTGCGTCTCTGAAGAAACTATCTTTAGAGCTCACATGTACTCAGGCTTCAGGCATGCATGTGAATCATAGCAAAGTCCCAAAAATTGTGCAGCTACTGTGGCCGTATGCTTGGGACTTGTGTCTATTAGTCGTTATAGTAGCTTCCCTTATTATTTCACACACTAAAGTACACATTAACACTTATAATCTCCTATGCGATAAGTTATTGGTCTCCCCTCACTTTCAGCCCGCCAGCTACTTCCCCTGTTTTTTTTTACTTTCGTTAACTGATGTGGAAGCTTTCATTGGACACGTGTCGTCTCCATAGTATATTAGATGTTTGACAGAAGGTTCTGGAGTCCACAGACCTCGGTGAGCAGCACGGCCAGCATGTCCTGCCTCTGGAAGCGGATGGCTAAGTGAACCAGCGTGAAGCCGTCATCAAAAGCAGATGGTCGATTCAGGAGGCGAACTTCGTCTGCCGTTAACTGCCGCGCGATGTCTCCTCCTGATGATTTGTAGGCCTCCACAGCTGCTAGGTCGCCCTCCACCACACCTTCACATGGGAAGCACAGACACACAACTGTTACAAAAGCACTCTATCAGACACGCACTTCAGAGCAGCACCAGGTCACTGTTGTCCCGTAAGCTTTATTAGACAGGGCCTATAGTCTGGGGTCCACTGTCAAAAACACTGTTTAAAGCCAGCTGCACCAACATTCCAATAGATACTTCAGTCAAAATATAAAAAACAAAAAATAGGAATGAGGATGAGGAAAAAATTACATTGTAAACTAGAAAAGTAAAAAGAAAACAAACAATCTTAGATTCAGACATAATCATTAGTTCCTTGTTCCATTTCCAATCCGTCCATAACTTTTTGTATTATGGTGCAAACAGACAGACAAACAAACCCCGGCGATTGGATTACCCTCCGGAAGAGGCAATAAATAAGCAGCGGAATTGCATAAGCTGCAATTTAAGAAACAAGGGAAAGATCTTAAGGCTGGGAAAATGTCACAAAATGAATAATAGATATAAAAAGTCATTCTAAAAGCATGGCAAACAGCAGTTTCAGTCATCTCTCTTATAATGCCATTGCTTTCTCATCTTCAACACCAATCAATGGAAATGAAGAGCAAAGATGTTACAACCTAAAGTTACCAAAATTATTCTCCAAGTCAAACAATCTCAGACTCTACAGAGCATGCCCAGACGGTATTACTGACAGATCTATGCAAATATTGATGCAGTGCTATCCAAACCTAAAACAGTGTTCTTCTTTGCTCCATGTTTAAAAGGACTGGACTGGACACACACACTAAGCTGCAATAACGTCTGCTTGTGTGTGTGTTTGTACATGTGTGTAGTTATGAGTGTGGAGAGTGTGGGTGGAAGGACTCGCTGTGCCATGTGAAGCGGGCTCGCACACACAAGGAGAGAGGGGGAGGAGGAGAGAGGCCGAAAGAGAGACAGAGATTACAATGGCAGCGGTAGGAGATCATAAACGTTTTCCACAGAACACCACATTAGAGTGAGTGTGATCCCTGCAGCCACTACTGTGTGTACACGCAACACTACAGACTTCACTTCTCATATTATCTTTTTTTTCTTAACTCTACTTTACAGATTGGACTATGTGTATTTACTGAACAATTACAGGTAAACAAGACTTAAAAGCCTGTCTGATTTCAAACTATTATAAAAACTGAATCGGTATTGAATGAAATTGGCAAGGTCATGCTAGAGGTTCAGACTAAAAGGTAGATGATTCTCGTATTTGTTGAACGTATGGTGATGGTCAATTCATAAAGTAGCCATGATGAAAAGGCTCATTTTAAAGAGAAGGAGAGGAACATGATGAACAAGACATTTGTAGGTGTGCTCATCTTTTGCATCAGTGGTTATTTTTGTGCATTTACTTTTTCACATTATCAAGGTATTTTGAAACCTTATCGAATAAGGGTTTGGAATTGGATATTCGTTCCAGAGACAAATAGCTACACAATTTGGCAACAACAGAGCATGAGGCTGTTCATGTTGATAGCTGAGATTTTAAAGAATATCAGCCTGTAATATTAACATTAACAATATATTATCAATCACTAAATTATTATTTATAGACAAGGAAAATGCATTCAGACATAGTTACAATAAACAGATGCTAATTTACAAATCCCCGTCCCTGATTGGACTTTTCTACCACTAAACAGTACAGAGTCTATACACTGCCAACTGTGTAAACAAAAGTACTGTAAATAAAATGCAAATGTTACATCTGATTGAGGGGAGTACAGAGGTCTGAAAGGAAAGCTGTGTAATAATATGCAGATGTGAGTAGTCTGCACTCTGAATGATCCACTGCTCTGCTCCGTGTGACAAAGTCAACATGGTCCCGATACCAGGAGGAGCCCATACCAGGAGGAGCCCATACCAGGAGGAGCCCATACCACTCTAGCGTATCTTAGGATCAAGCAGAGTACACACAACCCTAGGGCTGTAAAAAGTGTTTTGATTAAACGTGTACAATCCAGAGTTTTAAAATTACATATGATATTTTTGTGGATTTACAAAATACAGTATGACGACATGTATTTACCATTTATAAATTACAATGTATTAGGGCTGCACAAAATTGAAAGTGTGGAATAGTGGTGTCAATAGTGGTGTCAGTGGTTAGCACTCATGCTATACCGCAAGTATGGGTTCCATTCCACCTCCAGACCGGGCCTTTCTGTGTGAAGTTCAAGTGCTCTGATTTGCTCTACTGCTGAAAACTAAGAACATGTACAATAGTTCAGGATGAATGAGTGTCTGTTTGTGAGTGCGAGTGTAGTCCCAAGGCTACAATACGGTTTATTTACAACACTGCTGTTAATTAATACACACCGCCCTACACTCAGTTGGTAGGGCGGTATATATTATAATAATTTCCTTCCTGAAATTATGTCTCTGTAACAGAGTCTGTGGCTCTGGCAGTAAATGGCAAGAGGTTTATACATCAAATGATTGCATCTTTGGAATATCAACATAGCACTTAATTTATTGCTGTAACAATATTTGTTGCTATATAGTGCAGCCTTAGGGTGCTTTCACTGTTGGTCCAGTAAAGCGGTTCGCTTGGGCCCTAAAGTTGTTACAATGTTGCAGTTCTCAACTAGTTCGGTTCTCATTCACACCAGTGTTTTTGCAAATGAACTAACCACTGTAGATGTTACATAATCCGCCACCCGGTGGCGCTGTTCACAAAATACTGTGTATTGGATGACCTAGGTGAAACCTGATTGGCGCAGGATGTGAAGAGGGAAAAATCCCGGAAGAAATCAAACTTGTCAGATCCTTAATGATGAACTGTGCTGCTCTAGTGTGTGGCTATTTTTGATCATCGCTGCTTTGTACAGCACAAATACTGTTGTTCCAGTATGTATAATAGATTCAGCACCAGAACACTCTGCGGGTGTTTTTGACTGAAACGATGTGTGTGTTAAAAAGTGAGCTACGCAACAGAGCAGGGCCATATTGAGGCAGGTCAGCGTTCTCACCAGCAGCGAACCGCACTGGAGTCCACATGGAATCGCACCGAGACCAGCTCCATAAGGTGGTCTCGGTGTGGTTCTTTAGTCCGGACCAAATTTAACTGGTCCACTTTCACACCTACTCAAACGAACCGTACTTGCAGGTGTTCCAGACTCCAGTCCGCTTTAAGTGGACTAAATGATGCAGTTAAAGTGTATTTAATCTGTATAATGTAAATGTTTTACAATTATTAAAATGTAAATTGTATTATGTGAAATGTCTGACACCGGAACCAGAACTTTGTAATTCTGCAACATTTTCCCAAACGCTTCAAAACACAATGGACACCAGTTCGAGTCACTTCTGTTGTAGTTTCCTGACCCTCCTCAACTCTATGCACATGTCGCCCAAGTAACCCAGAGGGGAACACTCTGCCCAGCTGGCATTTCCATTGCAAACTGGTGCCGAGTGGACCCAGGGGGAAACACTGCTTTTATAATCTCATGTAGAGTCCACACACTACAGAATAACAACATAAAACAGCGGAGCTTCAGCACAGGAAATCTCCCCATACTCTCCTCATGAAGAATGAAGTTACACATCACTGTTAAGTGTCCTTTTATCTAGAGGCCAATGGCAAAACCCATGTTCCAGTTTGAAAAGTTAAACAAAAGGAGATCCAGTTTCCCAAAAACATGACTTTGTGCTCCAGTAAACCAGATGCTTTTGCATCATGAACAGAGTCTGATTATGTGCCTTAAAAACACAGACCTTAACAAAGCACACATTTATATGATTCTCACTTTTGCTTTCTCAACAGGAAACATCTGATGTGTGTGCTTTAGCATAACTATTATTTTTTTTGATAGGTTTTTCTCGGGGGACATATAATATAGTATTTCCCTCGTGTTTGCAGTAAGTGTGTCTCCCTTTTAGAACGATACAATCCTGTGATAATGGCAGATTATTGAGTTCCTCGCTGTGTTTTCTCGATCAGCTGTTCGCTGTTGCTGTCCTTCTGTGACTTCTGTCTCCCAATCAGCAGCAGACACTTTGATCATGTTACCTTTAGTATCTGCTCAGTTCAACTTGGCTTCACTCGGCCCGAGGAAGAAGCAGGAGCTAAAAAAGTACCTGGTCAAAGGGGCCAGCACCTAATGGAAAAGCTCTGAACTGGGGCCAAAGAGAAATGGACAAGGGGCTTTAGAGGAAGAAGGAGTTAAAGTCGTTACTCAGATTGTGTTACACATAGAAACGTTGAGGCGACTTTTGTTTCCGCTGGCCGCTTACGCTCAGTCTTGATTAAATAAATGCTGCCGTTTGTGTGGGGGCAGATTTTGTGCCATAGATGGTCCATAGGTGGCACCGTGGCAGTAAGGCCACGGTGCAGTAGGAGCAGGACTTGAGACACAAGTCCTGTTCCTAAATCGTTTATAAGACAGTAGGTTTATCAATCATCTCTTCAACATTGGTTCAGTCAAATCACAACAGGACACACACACACATCACACATACGTGTATTTGCAACACAAACACCATGGCTCTGCTTCCAATTTCAACAATTCCAGATTGATGTGGCGCAGGGATGTCAAAGTCAAAGTTACATCAGAAGCCAAAAAAACAATTTGCTTCAAGCCGAGGGCCGGACAGGTTGAATGTTTCTTAAAACATATTAAAAGGATTGCATATAACCTATAGTCCAAGACCTAACACTGTGGACCGTATTTTATTTAATGAATAATCCAATATTTTTGAATGGCTCGTGCAATGATTTCAAGTGAAAAAAAAAATTCAAAAAGGCTAAAAAACAAACTTCCTTCTATAAGAGAAAACACATCACACAACACTGAACATGAAATGAATAATCCAAAATAATGTATTATGGCTCCGTGCAGGCCGGTTCTAATTAGGGGTGGGAACCTAAGGGTACCTCACGATACGATACAAAGCTCACGATAACGATTTTATCACGATAACGATTTTATCACGATAACGATTTTATCACGATAACGATTTTATCACGATAACAATTTTATCACG